GAGATTGGATTTATATCCCGCCCTTCACTTGGAGTCTCAGAGCGGCTTACAAATGCCTTTCCCTTCCCCTCCCCACAACAGACACCCTGTGAGGTAGGTGGGGCTGAGAGAACTCTGACACAAACTGCTCTTTTTCAAGGACAGCTGTGCCAGAGCTTGTGACTGACCCAAGGTCACATCAGCAGGTGCAAGTGAAGGAGTGGGGAATCAAACCCGGTTCTCCCAGATTAGAGTCCGCGCACTTAACCACTACACCAGAAGCCAAGGGCAACTGAAGTCTGCCACCAGCTCAAGCGGGAACAGCAGCGTTTTTGTGACATACAAAACCTTGCAGCAGGAGAACTTACAAGGCGCTGCAGGCCCTTTGGCCCTTCTGCAGAAAACCAAGCAGGACACAAAGCTCTAGAGACCGGGACTGCCGGTCCCCTTCCCCAAGAGAGATGTGCAGACATAACTGTGTAGGTTTTAAAAAACAGGTTGGTTTCTCCTACACCAGGCTTCAAGCGAGGCAGAAACCATTTTCAGTTGACTCAGAAATTGCCAGTTTCTGAAATAAATTAGAGGTACAGAAATGTCTTGCTCAGTCCACAGCTTTGAAAGAAACCTCCCCACCCCTAAGCATATTGTTTACTGGGTTAGCAACATTCAAGTCATGACCAGAGAAGGAAGGTTGAACTGGCAGAATTCAAGATGGCAGAAGGAGAAGAAGAGGAGGAGGAGGAGGAGGAGGAGGAGGAGGATGGATTTATACCCCTGCCCTTCACTTGGAGTCTCAGAGCGGCTTACAAACTTTCTTTCCCTTCCCCTCCCCACAACAGATACCCTGTGAGGCAGGTGGGGCTGAGAGAGTGTTTTCCAGAACTGTCCTTGAGAGAACAGCACTGACGGAACTATGGCTTGCCCAAGGTCATCCAGCAGGTGCAAGTGGAGAAGTGGGGAATCAAACCTGGTTCTCCCAGATTAGAGACCGTGCACTTAACCACTACACCAAACTGTAAGAGATCAGAAGGCCGGGATGTGAAGGGGGTGGGAATGGCCAACCACACAAGTCATAGCTGGGAGAGACAAACACTTGGGAGGAGATCTGGATTTGGAGGCAGGGAGAGGCCCTGAACAGGCTGTGCGGTGTAGTGGTTGGGGCGTTGGAACTGAGAGATCCAGGTTCAAATCCTCACTCTGCCTTGGAAGCTCACTGGGTGACCTGGGGCCAGTCACACTCTCCCAGCCTCACCTCCCTCAGCAGGACGCTGTGAGGATAAAAAGGAGGAGAGGAGAAGGAGGTAGTAAGCCCACTGCGGGTCCCCTTGGGGGAGAAAAGGTAAAGGTTTCCCTCGCTCGAAAGCCAGTCGAATCCGACTCCAGGGGGCGGTGCTCATCTCCGTTTCCAAGCCGAAGAGCCAGCGCTGTCTGAAGACGTTTCCGTGGTCATGTGGCCGGCATGACTAGACGCCGAGGCGCACGGAACGCTGTTACCTTCCCACCAAAGTGGTGGTACCTATTTATCTACTTGCAATTTCTTGCTTTCGAACTGCTAGGTTGGCAAGAGCTGGGGCCAGAGACAGGAGCTCACTCCATCATGCAGCACTCGGGTCTCGAACTGCCGGACTACTGACCTTCCGGTCTGCAGCTAAGCATCTTAACCACTAACAGAGCATAAATAAATAAACAAACTATAAAATAAAGCTTTAAAAGAGTGGAGCATGATGGTGGGGGGATAAGAGATAAGAGGGTTTTAAGAGCCAATTTGGTGTAGTAGTTAAGTGTGCGGACTCTAATCTGGGAGAACCGGGTTTGATTCCCCACTCCTCCACTTGCACCTGCTGGATGACCTTGGGCAAGCCGTAGTTCTGTCAGAGCTGTACTTGAAAAAGAGCAGTTTCTGTCAAGAGCTCTCTCGGCCCCACCCACCTCACAGGGTGCCTGTTGTGGGGAGGGGGAGGGAAAAGGAGTTTGTGAGCCGCTCTGAGACTCCTTTGGGTAGTGAAGGGCGGGGTATAAATCCAATCTCTTCTTCTTCTTCTTCTCATTAAGTTTAAATATATCATGACTGGCTCAGAACCTCTAGAAGTCAGGGGGCCAGAACTCCTAACTCAGTCATATTGCACCTTTGAGTGCCTAACAGGGCCACAAGGGTAACTCCACCAGTGTCACCCAGAGCACTGATGGGGGTGGGGGAAGTAGCCAGGGGCCCAGGCTCAAGTCCTGCCCCAAGCACCCCCCCTCCTCTGCATCTTCAGCAACAGCACCGCCTCCGCCCCCCACTATGACCCCCCATGCCATCTCAGGGGAAGAGCCTGTGGAGTCACACAGCCCCTGGTTTTCCACCATGAAGGCCACCTCCTAGTGAAGTTTTTGTCAGGAAGCAAATGCTGCCCAACCCCACACATGGCTTGCAATTAGACACCCGCCCACCGGCACTTCTTAATCTCTACATGCAGGTCACCTTCACGGCCATTCTGCAAAGTCACATCCATTATTAATAAGTAAACACCCTCCCCCGCCGCCTCCCCCCCCCCTTTTAATGAAAAATAAACCCTTTGTATTTACAGCGACTCAGAAGGCAACAGGGAGCTGCTCTTAGAAAAAGGTCGCTGCAGGAAGCAGCCCGACTGGCAACTCCAATCTACTCTGCTGCAACTAGGAGAGGGGGGGGGGCTCATTTGCCAAGACCCTCCCGCAGGAAGCTCTAATCCACAAAGACGCCTGGCTAACAAGAGCCTTAGCATGCCGAGAATGTTAACTGCTTTGGAAGTCTTTGAACTACACAGTGCCTGGAAGGCAAAGAAGCAGAGTCTGAACTGAGAGCAGGTAACGGCGAAACTGGATTCGGAACTAGCTGGCAAGACTGGTTTGCTGCCCGACTGGGTGCCGGACGTCTTGTAAGACTGGCAGGCTCCCCTCTTCTGAGCCTCAAGGGAGGAATCCATCACAAGGGGAGAGAGAGAGAGAGAAAGAGAGAGAGAATAGAGGAGTTTTTGCTTAAGGATCCGAACTAAGTGTGAGTTGATTGCTGGGAGTCTCCTGGGAGCAGGTGTGGAGAGGCAGCAGACACATTGTCTAAATAAATACATTGTTCATGCTCCTAGCAGCATCACCTCCACACCATTGTTTTAAGATTCATGCATGCCCAAGGCAATGCAAAGCTGCCAATGCCCCCTTCTAAGCTGTGGAATCTTGTGAGCAAAAATTCTGCTTTGTGAATGAGTGGCACTAAAGTTGTGAGCGAGCGATTTGGCTGCTGCATAAATGAGTTTGCTCTGGAGCCGTCCTTCCTGAGCGAAGACAAAACTGTGTGAGCCGGAGGCTAAAGAACTGTGAGCTAGCTCACACTAACTCAGCTTAGGGGGAACACTGGCCACAAAGTGCCTTGCTGGGCTGTTGTAAGAATAAAGTGGAGGAAAGGGAACTTTGTGTGTCACCCTGCCTGGACTGGAGGAAGGGATGGAGAAAAACAAGAGAGAGAGAGAGAGAGAGAGAGAGAGAGAGAGAGAACACATGCGTGGATGCTTTTTGGACAATTGAGTTCCCACACACCCAAGGCCCTCGCTGCAGAGGGGACTTAAAGCAATTCTTGCTGCGCACAGTGTCTACGGCAAATGGTAGACCTACGTTGGGCAGGAAGGCTGTTTGCATTCCACATGCCACTCTTCTGTTTTATCAGCTCTCAAAGGCGAGAGAGAGAGGCGACGGGGACAGCCCCCTTCTTCCCCAAGTCCCTATCACACTCTGCAGCCATCCAAGAGCGCAGTTCTGAACACCTACATCTGTGCAACACGTTCACCTAGCAAAGGCAATTACCCAGGGAACCAAGCAGAAACATTTAAGGGAATCTGTCGCTTCCTCCACAGCAGGCATCGTTCCTGCTGCAAAGAGAACCGAGTTCTTTGTTCTCCAGCTTTCAAAATATGCCTTTTTAAAATTAGTAGCACGGGTGGAGGACAACACAGACAGCCACCCATCATTCCTTGCTCCTTCTCTGTTGCCGCCTCGGCTTGAGCTGATCATGGCAAAGCCTTGCGTGCATGCAAACGAGATGTGCCCACAGCCAAGCCTTTCCCGCACCTGTTGATCAGAGACACAAGGGCAGCAAACAGCTCCTCGTAGAGTCCTGCGGCCATCCCCTCCACGCACTCCACACCAGTCATCTTGGGACCTAGAGAGAGAGGAGGAGGAGGAGGAGGAGGAGGAGGAGGACACAGGTGACTTCGCTTTCTCTCTCAGCCTTCAGCCCCCTCCTGCCACCTCCCTTTTGCCATCAAAGCAGATTCACCCGACGTATTTCTTTGGGATATTTCTATGCCGTCTCTCTGGAGACCTGCTTGAGGTGGCTTACAATTAGACACAGGCTATTAAAAACAAGCCCCTGGACACCAGCAACATAAAACCTTCTGGAAAACAGAAGCAGACTGTTAAAAAGTTGGCAAGACAAACCCCTGATGGAAAGCCGGGGTAAATACATGATAGTAATACAAGGAAGTAAATTAGATACCAGGCAAGCCTACAGGGGGCGGGCATTCCAAGGGGGGAGGGGCCACAGCAGAAACTGCCCTGTGTCTAGTTGCCACCTGCCTCACCTGTGAAGATGGGGGCCCCAAAGGGTAGGGCTTGAACACAGATCTGGAGGCCTGGATAATAAAGACCATCTCCTCCTAAGGTATCCAGACCACCAGTTTGTTGGAAGAGAAGGACTCGGCGCTGTTCTTTTGCCTCAGCCTCCGGAGGGGGGCGGGTTTACAAGAGAGTCAGAGAGACCGGCCAACCATGGGGAATCCTTCCTGTTTACTCTTCTGCCTCTGTCCCTTTGATGCGCAGACTGATACATTCCTAGGGAGCAATGTCCTCTCTTCTGACTTCACACATCCTCTCACTCACACAAAGAAGGAGCCCGTTTACTCTCCATCTCTGAACAGCGGATGCAGGGGCACTCCTCCCTGCATCCATACCCATCCTAGGTCGTTAGAATAGATCCTAGCTCTGTCTCTCACCGGTACTGTCTAGAATGGAGTTCCATATGATAAAGAGCTCTTATTAGTTTTGAAGCTGGCTACTGGCTCCGTGTCACATCGTCAGTCTGCCAGCACACTCAGCACCGAAGCTTTGCTGCGTGGAAAGCCTGGCGCTCTCTGCTACATTGACAGAGATTCCTGGCTGTACAAAACCAGATAATCCAACACAGTTAAGACCTACAGAGGTGAGGCATGTGGTGACCAGAGACAGGGCATTTTAACCATAGAGTTTGGGGTAAAACCTAGAGTGTTGCACCAACATGACAATGTCACTTCTGGTTTCCTGCAGGAAATGACATTGCAGATTGGCATGATGAGAGACGGGCCTCACCATTTCACATCCACCATCCTGTCAAGCAGTAGAGGGGAATGGGGATCAGGCTGCATCCAAGTCCCTACAGCTGAAAACCACTCTCCCCCCGCCCCATCCTGTGGGCCAAAATACATGAAGAAGAAGAGGTTGGATTTATACCCTGCCCTTCACTACCCAAAGGAGTCTCAGAGCGGCTTACAAACTCCTTTCCCTTCACCTCCCCGCAACAGACACCCTGTGAGGGAGGTGGGGCTGAGAGAGCTCTTCACAGAAACTGCTCTTTTTCAAGGACAGCTCTTGTCAGAGCTACGGCTTGCCCAAGGTCATCCAGCAGGTGCAAGTGGAGGAGTGGGGAATCAAACCCGGTTCTCCCAGATTAGAGTCCGCGCACTTAACCACGACACCAAACTGGCACTTAACCACTACACCAAACTGCAGGAGGAGGAGGAGGAGGAGATTGGGTTTATACCCCATGGTCCTTCACTACCCAAGGGAGTCTCAGAGCGGCTTACAAACTCCTTTCCCTTCCCTTCCCCACAACAGACACCCTGGGAGGTAGGTGGGGCTGAGAGAGCTCTGACAGAAACTGTTCTTTTTCAAGGACAGCTCTGAGAGAACTATGGCTTGCCCAAGGTCATCCAGCAGGTGCAAGTGGGGAATCAAACCCGGCTTTCCCAGATTAGAGTCCGTGCACTTAACCACCACACCAGACTGGCTCTCCATCTTCCCAATGGAGGGAAGTCAGCAGTGAGCTCCCACAAAGATCATTATTGGGGCCGGTACCCTCTGAGTTATTCATCCGTGACCTGGAACTGGGGGTGAGTCGTGCCATGGCCAAGTCTGCAGATGACACCAAATTATCCAGGACGGTGAAAACCAAGGCTGGCCATGAAGAGCTCCAAGAGGACCTCCACGAAGTGGGTGACTGGGTGACCACGTGGCAGATGAAGTTCAATGCTGGCAAGTGCCAGGTGAGGCACGGTGGGAGAAAAAAATCCCCACTTCAAGTACAGACTGATGGGGTCGGAACTTGCTGAGTCTGAGAGGGGAAAAGATCTCGGGGCTGTCGTGGGTAGCTCGATAAAAGTGTCGGCCCCGTGTGCTGCAGTGGTGAAACGGGATCGTTAAGAAAGGGACTGAGACTAAAGCTGCCAATATTATAGATTTGTAGAGATCTGTGGTGCGGCCTCATTTGGAAAACTGTGTACAGTTCTGGTCACCCGGTCTCCAAAAGGACATCGTAGAGCTGGAAAAAGTGCAGAGGAGGAGGACCAAGGGTTTGGAGCCCCTTCCCTAGAAGGAAAGGCCAAAGGAGAAAGAGACGACTCGGGGGCGAGGGGACATAATAGAGGATTATAAAATTAGGCATGGGGTGGAGAGAGCTGACAAAGATAAACTGTCCTCCCTTTCCCCAAATACTAGAACTCGAGGCCATCCAGTAAAGCTGATGGGCAGTGGGTTCAGGACAGAAAGAAGGAAACACTGCTTTACATAGAGAGTGACTGAAATGTGGGATTTGCTGCCACAGTATGTATTGATGGCTCCAGGAATGAACAGCCTTAAAAGGGGATTAGAGAGATTCATGGAGGAGAGGTCTATCAGTGGCTCCTAGCCATGCGGACTGAGGGGAACCTCCACATTCAGAGGCAGTCAACCTCAGTCAACCTCTGAATCCCAGAAGAAGAAGACGAGAAGAAGAGATTGGATTTATACCCCACCCTTCACTCTGCGTCTCAGAGCAGTTTACAAACTCCTTCCCCTTCCCCTCCCCACAACTGAAAGAGCTCTTACAGAAACTGCTCTTTTTCAAGGACAGCTCTGAGAGAACTACGGCTTGCCCAAGGTCATCCAGCAGGTGCAAGTGGAGGAGTGGGGAATCAAACCCGGTTCTCCCAGATTAGAGTCCGCGCCCTTAACCACGACACCAAACTGGCTTTCAGGGGATGGTCTCTGGCAACCTCAGGGGATGTTGTTGGCCTTCCAGAGGACCTGGCTGGTCACTGTGTGAGATAGAATGCTGGACCAGAGGGACCCTCCCTGGTCTGACCCAGCAGGGCTCTTCTTATGTTAATAATGAAATACATGTGGCAGCCATGTGAAATGTGAAATTTGCTTTCCACTTAAGACTGCCGCTGAGGGGGTGCCTGCCTCCACCACCGGTCCTTGAAGCAGCGGCTGCCTCCTCCTGCCTTAACCCGATTCGAGGGTGGGGAGAGGAGATAAAAGGAGCACCTGGAAATGCTGGCGGGGGGGGGGGGAGGTGTGTGGAGGTAGATCGGGCAGCTCTTCAAGCATTTTACAAGCCTGTATCAACCCTGGAACCTGAGCCAGTTGCTAGGAAACCAACCTTCAGCTGGTACCTTTCAGAGATGGCTTTCTGGGCTCTTTCATGGCAGATTGCGGCCGTGAACATTGGATGTATCACAGTGCGTAAAAATAAGGAGCAGAGCGGAAAAATTAAGCGGGGGGGGTCAGGGGGGAGAAAGAACAGCAAAAGAGCTGGCAGGGAACAGCCGGGCTGGCTCCGACTCTCAGCAGGCAATCGGGGTCCTTCGCTGCCTGCCCGCCCGCCTTCAGAGTCCTTGGAACCAGCCCCGCTCCCCCACCCGGGGCATTTGCAATTCAAAGAGCCACTTGCCGAAGTGAAGCCGGCTTGGGCACTTTGCCTCCCTGCCTGGTTTCTGGAAAGGGCTGCAAAGGAAAGGGGATTTTAAAGCAGCCTCCCCCTCCCTTTGTGTTTAAGCATGAAACAAAACACGAAATGCTACAAACACACCTCTGATTGCTCTGATTGTTGGAAGAGAAAGGAGAGAGATTTGGCCTCCCGTCGCCTGTGAGGAGGCAGGGCGCCTGCTGCGGCTCAGGAGATGGAAGGTAGAGGCTTCAGAACAGAAAGCTGGGCGGCGGCTGCAGGGGGGGGGGGACAGCCTCCTCCCCATGAAAGATTTGGGCATCTTCCCACATTCATTCCTCCGCCCTCCTTCTCCCCCCACAAGCCGCAACAGAAAGGAGGAGGACTGAAACAAAAGGGAGCCATGGGCAGAGAGCAAGAAGAATCGGGGCACCGGGTGCTGCCTGGCAAAGCGCACACTCAGCATGCAGAGAGAGTGTCAGGCTGGTTGGGGGAAGGTGGAGGAGATCCAGCGGCAGAGGCAGAGAGGCCCACCCCCGCCCCCGACAGCTCTCACTCCGAATTCTGGGGTAGAGTGACCAGTGAGAGAGGGGAGAAGGAACACACCGGCCAAGGACCTATGGGAAGGGTGTTATTTTCGGGGCCGGGCCCTGCCATGGTCTCTTGTAATGTCACTCGGGGTGCTGAGCACTGGCCTACGTTCATACAGATATTTCAGGATTTGAACCCAGAGCCACGCGCAGAAGTGCAGGGGGTGGGTGGGGCAACAGCAGGTCCTAGCCGTTGGCAGGCTGTGTGAAGCCTCTGGGTTGGCTTGATCGGGTGGCTCTCTGTCCCAGGACTGCCAGCATCCAGGGGGCACCCTACCAGTGTTCACTGTGCAAATTAGCTTCTTCTTTTGTTTCTTTATTTTACGTCATGCAGTGCTGCTGCTGCTGCTTCCAACAATTGCCATGTGACTACAGATTTCCCGGGCAAACCATCTTGTTTCCCTCAGTGCTTCATCAGGTCTCTTTATACTTGGAGCCAGGGGTCATTTCCTGCAGGAGCACACAGGAGCGGAGCTCCGGCAGTAAAGAGCCCAGGGGGCGGGCACGTGCAACAAGCCCCGCCCCCTGCTCCCAGCAGCCCTCCGTCAGAGCAAGAAGCCGCCGGGTAAGTTGCAGAGCCCCCCCCCCCCCAACCCCCCAGTCCAAAACAGTCCAGTGGCACCTTTAAGACCAAGTTTTATTCAGGTAGAAGCTCCCTAATGAAGTGACCTGTAACCTTTGTATTGGTCAACTAACAACTTCTTTGTAGAAATGCTTTGATCTAGCATTCATGTATTCACAAGTTTATGGCCCTTTGTGTGAACCAGAGAGGTAGTTCTCTTCTAGAAGCCAAGACAGATAGAAAGATGTAGCTGTTAGCATATAGTACTGAGAGTAACTGCAAGTATGTAACCTTTTATTTTATTTTTCTTTTACTAAGTGTGGCTCTTGTGTTTGCAATACAACCGTCGACCTTGAATCAAGAATCCCGACACTCTCCCTCCTCCGTGAGGACAGATCTGCACGTTCCCCCCCCCCCCAATAGCTAGCAATCCAAAACAGTCCAGTGGAGCCTGAGCGGTGGGTGTGGCCTTCTGACACACTTCCAGTGAGTGCAGGGGGCGTGGCATATGCAAATGAGTTATGCAAATGAGTTATGCAAATGAGCTCCTGCACCTCTTTTTCTACGAAATGACCCCTGCTTGGAGCCCATGCTCTACGTCTCCTACTCAGAATTAATCTTGTATTTTCTCGGCACCTGAGAGCCAGCATGACGTGAAATAAACTGGGGGGGAGAAGAAATTTGCGGACTGTAATTGGACTAGAATCGTTTTTGCACAGCAGACACTGGTAGGGGGCCACCTTGGGTTAGTCACTGTGGTCTGTGTGTGGCTTGAACATCCAGGTGGTGGCTGAAGATCTCCCGGAATCTCAACTGATCGACTGATCTCCAGACCGCAGAGATCACTCCCCCTGAGGGAGGGGAATGGCAGCTTTGGAAGGTGGACTCTGTGGACTTATACCCTGCTGAAGCCCCACCCCTCCCCAGACCCCACCCCTCCGATCTCCAGGAATTCCCCTCCCCAGACCTGGCAGCCCTGTCAGCAGAGCAGAGCCTCCCACCCGCTCCTCCAGCGGAAGCCTTCGTTCCCCTTCCAGACCCAAGAACAGGCCTTGGGCCCTCGGAGCCGGAGAATGGGAGCAGCAGGCGTCAGGATTCCAGCCGGCCTCCCCCCGCTCAAGCCTTCCTGGCAATGTAGGCAGTGCTCCCCCCCCCCAGGGCAATGCTGCAGCTGGCCCTTGCAGCCTGGGAGGGAAAGCAGGCCACGGGCCACGTGCAGAAGGGGGGCGCCCAGCTGTCCCTCAGCCTGGGTGGGCTTAAGCAGGGATGGGGGGGGGGTAGAGAGACGGCTCAGACCAGCTCCACTCGCAGGCAAATCCCACCCAAAGAGAGAAGGCGGCGCAATACCCTCGGGTTGGTCCTCATCCTGGCCGAGTGATCCCCGAGATCCAGCCGTCACTTGCTCAATAATCCGCTTGAGGTGGTGCTTGAAAACAGAGGCCGTGAGCTCCTCGAACTCGCATCCCAGCACTTCTGCTGCATTGTTGGCCCACTCGAACCTCATGAACTGCTTCCTGCCGACTGAACAGAGAGGAGGAGAAAGAAGCTCTGAAGAAAACTGACTGGGCTGCCCTCAGCCTGGCACACGTCAGCCGGCTTACTCCCCACCGATCAGGACGACAACGACAACGGGAGTCCGGAGACACCCAGGCCCTCTGGATGAACCCGCTAGAACCGCTGCTTTGTTCCGTTCACGCCCCCCAAGTCATTCCACTGATTCCGTACCTGGAAATTAAAAGAGATTTAAGCTTTGCACAGGCGGTGAATGAGATTTCTATGGATGTTTCCCATAGGAAAGCATCATCTCAAGATTTTTGCATGTTACCGGATCAATTTTTAAACAGGGTTTCTTTTAAACTGTGGTGTTTGCAGTACTCCAAGACTGGAGCCTATTCAGTCAGCCCCAAAGCTGGCAACCACCGTGGTGTAGTTAGTCCAGTCACCAGTACTTAGCAGAGTGCTTAAATAAAGCAACAAACGCAGGAGCGTCACTTTACCAGGTTACTCAGCTTACAAAGCTACACAGAGCCACACTGCAAGTTTAGAAGAGACATAGGTAAAGGTAAAGGTTCCCTTGCTCGAAAGCCAGTTGAGTCCGACTCTAGGGTTGCGTAGCTCATCTCCATTTCAAAGCCGAAGAGCCAGCGCTGTCTGAAGACGTTCCCTTGGTCATGTGGCCGCCATGACTAAACACCAAGGTGCACGGAACGCTGTTACCTTCCCACTGAAGTGGTACCTATTTATCTACTTGCAATTTCTTGCTTTCGAACTGCTAGGTTGGCAGGAGCTGGAACCAGAGACGGGAGCTCACTCCGTCATGCGGCACACTCGGGTCTCGAACTGCTGAACTACCGACCTTCCACAGCCTGCAGTTCAGCGTCTTAACCACTTGAGCCACCACAGCTCCTAAGAAGAGAGCTACTTCTCTCTTTATTTGAGAAGTACACTTTGGATAGGAAAGAGCAGAGACTGACAGAGTACTAACTTACTGGCTAAAGGATGGAGGCGGATGGCGAGAGGCCCATCTGCCTCGTGGTGCCATGAGAGGGCAGCCTGTCCCTCTCTTGGGGCGTGCAGGGAGAGAGCAAGTCTTCATTCAGAGTGAAAGGAAAGTAGGAAATGGGGCAGCTGATCCCTGGGAACACAATCGGCATTTGAAAGAGCCCAGTGGTAGAGAGGAGACACAGGAAGGAGCTATCTAGCCTCTCTTGCCACTCTGGAACTTCCAACAGGCCAGCGGCAGGATTTGTGCTCAGCCGACCCACTGGCAGTTTTAAAGGCTACTAGCAAAAAAGACCCAGAGCCCCCACCCAGGGGCGCTCCTGAGCTTGAGGAGGCAGAGGCACCAGGCTGCCGAACAGCACTTGTTGTTCAGTCCCACAGTCAAGTCCGACTCTCCGTGACCCCATGGACCAGATCACGCCAGGCCCTCCTGTCTTCCGCCGTCCTCCGAAGCCCGCTCGATTTCATGTCCATTGCATCCATGACACTGTCCAACCATCTCATCCTTTGCCGTCCCCGTCTTCTTTGACCTTCAATCAGCACTGGGGAGCAGCAAAAACGGGGGGGGGGCCAGCGGCTGGGTGAGGGGGCAGGCAGGAGCCGTTCCTCAAGTCCCTGCAGGGTCTCCCTTGTTCTGTAAAAGCCGCTCCCGGCAGCTGCAGAGAACCAGCATTGGGTCCCCGGAAGCCAGATCCACCCCTTTAGAAACTCCTATGTCTCGTTTGGCCCTCAGTATGCAGTACAGTTCTAAGCTTGGGAGGGTGAGACAATCGGGCCTGGGGCCGCCCGACCTGCAGCCACCTTTCGACGGCAGGAAGGGGGAAAGAAAGCGGCTCCCAGTGAATGGCTGCCCAGGTGAAAGGCAACAGAGCTAATTAGCCGCCACTTGATGGGAGCCATTCATAAAAGAGACGGAGAGCAGAAACAAACTGATTGCTGCAATTAGATTTCATTTCACCTCTGAGCAGCGCCTTCGATTTCACGCTGCAGGAGTCATATTTTTATATGCCAAAATGCAGCAAATCTATCGCTGGCAGTTTTAAAGGGCATCAGCACAAAATATCCTGCCTGTGCCTCTGGCTCTCTCTCCACTTAGGAGGACCGGCAGGGCCCACGGAGAGGGGACCGAAGAAGAGCCCTGTGGGATCGAACCCACGTGCCATTGAGTCCGGCATCCCATTTCACACAGAGGCCAACCAGCTGGGGGACTGGCAAAGAGGTAGATGCCTTCCCCTGCCGCCGCCTCTTGGCCCTGGGACCCAGAGGTCCCAGGGGTCTGCCTTCGACAGACGTGTCCTCCGTGGATCTCACTCACTGTGCTTGTAGCCCAAGGCGGCAATCTCTCTATATACCTGATGCTGCCACAAAGCCTACCACAAGCCACGGCAAGCTGGGCCACATAATAGATGGAGATTTGTGGGCTGCTGTGTTGGCACAAAGCAAAACCCCAGAAATAAAAGCCACGTAGTCTCATTCACTAAGATTAGCCAAAATGACACAAAAGCACGCACAAGCTTCCCAGAGAATCGCGAGAACACAATCACTTGCACACTGTTTGGTGTCACTGTGGCTCATCTTAATAAAGGATAATATCTGGGTTGGGATTTGGGCTCTTGCTTTGAGCCAGTATAGCCATCTGCAGCCTCTTAGGCAGGCAGGCAGAGAAAGAAGTCTGTCAAGTAGAGTAAAGAGACCTGGGAAGCAGTGTTCCCTCTAAGCTGAGTTAGTGCGAGCTGGCTCACAGTTTTTTTAGCCTCCGGCTCACACATTTTTGTCTTAGCTCAGGAAGGATGGGGCTCCAGTGCAGACTGATTTATGCAGTATAGCCAAATCTCTCGCTCACAACTTTAATGCTTGTAGCTCACAAAGGAGAATTTTTGCTCACGTGACTCCACAGCTTAGAGGGAGCATTGCTGGAAAGATATTGTGCTTATGGGGTCCCCCCCGGTACACACGCTTCATAAAACCGCCCAGTTTTGCTTCCCTTGACTCTTTACTTACAGCATCATCTAACATTTGCCTCTAGATCTGTTCATCTAAGGAGCAGCATGTTTTCCCTTGCCTGTTCCCTTTTTACGGTCCCTTCCGTGGTAGGCAGATATTTGATCAACTCCCAGTGTTTATATTTTTAACATGTCTTTTAGCATGCCTTTCTTCTTCTTCCTGGGAGGCAGAAGGTGCCACCTGATACCAGCTCCACCCAGCACCACTTAATCCATTCAAACCCACCGACCTGGCATTTGACGCACAATGCAGGTAAGACGCAGGGCCTGAAACAGCATTGTTCCCCCACCCTTCATTAACACCCAGCCTGGTGACTGCCTGCTTTGGGAGAACACAAAAGCTGTGTTCTTTCAAGACTCCCTTTTCCAAGAACTGTCGTTTCAGCTTCACATTTTGAAAAAGGCTCAGTGGGGGCAAACTGCAGAAGGAGCACGCTCGCCAGCAAAGAAGCTGCTGAGGCCACGAACAGGCTGGCAGAGACCAGCCTCCTCGACCCCCTGTCCAAGCTATGGGGGAAGAGGTCCGGGTGTGTGTGTGTGTCTCCCCTTGAACCTGGGGCCAGATGGAAGGAAACAGCACGCCCCCTGGGCTGCTCTAGACCACAGTGATGATGGTGTATTCGGAACACAGTGGGTCCCAATGGCCTATCCACACACACAGGGAGAGCACCCCCCCCACTCTTCCTACCACACATCACACACACACACACACACACACACAGACACCCTTTCCCCAAAAGACCCCTCTTCCCCCAGCTCCTAGCAGGAGGTCCCATCCATTTCCCCTTCCTCAATCTCTGCCTCCGGCTCACTAAATCTACCCCTGTGACTCTTCGTTTTACAAATTTTTGGATTCTCTGCCCTAATCTCTTGCCTAATCTCTCCTTGGGAAGGCCTTGAGCACATTCATCTCCCTCTCTCTCTCCCCCTCCCCTCTCCTAGCCATCCTTTCCCATCTGGCGTTTGCTCTTTTCAATCAACTTCCAGCTCTCCCTGCTTGGAGCAAAATATGAATGAGATCTCTTCTCGGCACTGCTTTTTTATTTTATTTTTTTTCCAGGAAAAACTATCTTGCTTATTGTTAATAAGACCGACCTAAATGTATGCCTGAAACCGCTGGCATTCGGAGGCTGCATGCCTGTCCGGACGCCTGATCTCCCTGTCTAGCCGCATCTCTCCCAAAAGCCGAGGCGCTGCGTGAGAAGGCAAATCCGCTCTCCTGCTCACGTCTGGCTGACGCTTTGTCATAAACACAGGCGGGGCCGCCGTGTGGGTCTGAGGTGGCAGAATAACGTTTGAGTCCAGCGGCACCATTAAGGCCAACGGAGTTTTATTTGAGGTAGAAGCTTCCACATATGTGTGCAATTCTTCAGATACAGGATATCTGGCCAGCAATCTTCAATTTGGACATATTTCTTTCCTTCACTGTGTTCTCCCCCAGAATTAAACCCAAACAAATGGTAACCATATAAACTAAGCTTGTTATTCCTGTTTGGTCCTTTGAACGGTTAAACATCTTCATTATGCTGTATGCTAAATTACTGCTCTGCCTTTCCCAAAATGTATTTGTTGTTGTTCAGTCGCACAGTCGAGTCCGACTCTCCGCGGCCCCATGGACCAGATCACGCCAGGCCCTCCTGTCTTCTGCTGTCCTCTGAAGTTTGCTCAATTTCATGTTCGTTGCATCTATGACACTGTCTAACCATCTCATCCTTTGCCGTCCCCGTCTTCTTTGACCTTCAATCTTTCCCAGCATCAGGGTCTTCTCCAGTGAGTGCTCCCTTCTCATTTGGTAGCCAAAGTATTTGAGCTTCAGTTTCATTATCTGGCCTTCCAGGGAACAGTCAGGGTTGATTTCTTTTAGGACTGACTGATTCGATCTCCTCGCAGTCCAAGGGACTCTTGAGAATCTTCTCCAGCGCCATAGTTCAAAAAGAATCTATTCTTCGGCGCTCGGCCTTATAGTCCAACTCTCGCAGCCATACATGACTACTGGGAATACCATTGCTTTGACCATGCGGACTTTTGTTGGCAGGGTGATGTCTCTACTTTTTATCATGCTGTTTAGGTTCGCCATTGCTTTCCTCCCAAGGAGCAGGCGTCTTTTAATTTCATGGCTGCTGTCACAGTCTGCAGTGATCTGGGATCCCAGGAACGTGAAGTCTGTCACTACTTCCATGACTTCCCCTTCTATTTGCCAAGGAGTGATGGGGCTACATGTATGGATTGTATCTGAAGAAGTGTGCCTGCACAAGGAAGCTTCTACCCAGAACTAAACTCTGTTGGTCTTAAAGGTGCCTGACTGGACGCCAGCTTTGTTCTGTCTGTCACAAACACGTCAGGACACGGACTAGATGGGACCCTGACTGGCAGGGTGAGGAAACCGCTCGCCTGGAGAGTGGAGCCGGGGAAAACACTAGGAAAATTCTACAGGGAAGAGGAGCCAAGTCAACAGGCAGGACCCTGTGACTCACACAAGGCCCCGCTCTTTGTCTTCCAGGCAGCCAAGCCCAGTCCTCCAGGAAGAGGGTTTCCTGGGGCACAAACCCAGCGCCTCCATCACTCATGGAAGGAAAAGGGGTTGGGCAACTCCAGGACCACCTTGCTCGGCAGGGGTGCCAGGGAACCCGGCTCTCTGACCTCGCCTGGCCCTTAGCAGCGCAGGGCCTTCCACCCACTTGCCCCCGCCCAACCCCCATCGGTCCAGCCTCCCCAACCCCCAGGCTGGGCTCTTTGGGAACTGGTCTTGGAGTCTAGCTTGCCCTGCTCTTGCAAAGGGGGAGGCCGGAGGTCTGTTCCTCTCATTCCATAGAAATGCTCTGAAAGGGGGAAGGATCTGGCCGCCTTCCCCTGCCCGAGCGGCATCTCTCTTCTCTCTTGTCCCTTCCAGCCTCTTTGGAACCAGCAGCTAGGAAAATGAGGCCCGTTTTGGCTCCGAGCCCAGGCCCCATTTTGAAAAACTAGACCCCGCTCTTCACCATTCATTAAGAGAAAGGTCACTGCACCTCTGAGGCCGGGGAGAAAAGCCGTTTCAGGGCATCTCTGGCTGAGCGGGAGGGAGGGAAGGAGGGAGCCAGCCGAGAGGAGGCAAGCGCTGCTCTCAGGAAATTGGGTAATTAAGGCCTGCTGGATGCTGCCAGGTGCCCTAATTTCAGCACTGACTGACACCCCAATTACCGCACTCTGCTAGACGCCGTCCCCAACCTCTGGGAAACCTTGCACTTTAGGACGGCAATCTCTCCTGCACTGGTCCGTTTGCAAAACACAAGACTGCAAGGGCTCCTTGGTGTGGATCACAGAATATGCCTTGGGGCCTTGGAGGAGGAGGAGGAGAAGAAGACGAAGAGGAGGAGGAGGAGATTGGATTTATACCCCTTGCCCTTCACTACCGAAAGGAGTCTCAGAGTGGCTTACAATCTCCTTTCCCTTCCCCTCCCCACAACAGACACCCTGTGAGGTGGGTGGGGCCGAGAGAGCTCTTGACAGAATCTGCTCTTTTTCAAGGACAGCTCTTGTCAGAACTACGGCTTGCCCAAGGTCATCCAGTCGGGTGCAAGTGGAGGAGGAGTGGGGAAATCAAACCCAGTTCTCCCAGATTAGAGTCCGCCCACTTAACCACGACACCAAACCCCTTTCCAGACCCCGTGGCCTGCTCCCAAGTCCCAGCCCTGCGGTGCTTCACCTCTGTCGCTTGGTCTCCCTGCCCTACCCCTCCCACTCTCAAAACATTGAGGGTGAACTCTTTGGGGCAGGGCTCTGTCTGCCTTGCTCACTAAGGGTCAGACTAGCTGGGGGGCGCGAAGATCCTGGCCTGCGGTTCTTGCCAGTGGAATCCACTCCTCTCCTCACAGAGAGTCAGTAGTGCTGAAAGCTTCAAACAGGCAGGCTATCGCATGATAACTGCAGCAGTCAGGAGGACGAACATCCTCGCAATCCACTTACGCCCTGTGCACACAAAACCGGTACTGCACGCCTGAAAAGAACACCATCTGGAAAGGTCAGCTGCACACCCCTCTCCTTTCAGGGAGAAATCCTAAGCAAACAGGATGAGATCCGATAAAGACCACTGAGCCTTCCTAAAGGCCATGGCTCTTGCAAAACGCTCGCGGTCACAGCGCAAAAGAACCTCTTCAAGAGCCAGCAAACACTGAAAGAACAGGATGCCTGCATTGGGCAAACACACACATTCTCCGAGGGAGAGCCCTTTCCAATTTTTCAAATAATTAATAACTGATTAATGGGAGAGATTACCATAAGCTATGCTGGGACACGCTGTGGAGACATTAATGAATGCCCCCCAGCCAATTCTGTGGCACACCTCGCATCTAAGCCCTCTGAAACCAAAGTGCGTAAATCAGCGGCAGCTGTCATTCGAAGAAGCTACAGCACATCTTCAAAATAATTCATGAGGGACAGCAGAGTCTATCTCTCTGCCCCTTTTAATAAAGCCTTCGGAAACATGATCTCCACTGAAAATTCTCTGGGATAGAGCTCAGGCACAGAACCACAAGAACAAAACCAACATGAAGTCTGTGTCCAGTGGGCACCTTTAAGACCAACAAAGTTTTACTCAAGGTGTGAGCTTTTGTGTGCAGGCACTGCATCCGTACCTGAAGAGGTGTGCTTCGCACACAAAAGCTGATACCCAGAATTAAACTTTGCTTTGTTTTGAAGGTGCCACTGGACTCAAACTTTGTTCTGCTGCTTCAGCCCAATAGGGATGCCCACCTGGATCTAAAACCCAAATAGCTGTTGTGAGCTACCCAGGGGGGGTCCTCCGAGGGGGAACGGGGCCCTGCCGCGGGGCGCTGACTCTTCCCGGTCCCATTCTTCCTAGAATGCCATCCACACCCAGAACAAAATACAGTAGGATGCTTCTCCAAGTGTGGCCCCGGAGATGGACAGTGGCTTCCTTTTCTGTCCTGTAGCAGTACCTTGATGACACCATTACTTTTCCTGTGGATCACGCACGTTTTCCTGCAGTTGTGAGCTCCTCCTAGGTTCAGCTGTGGGTCTCTGCTCACAGAAGGGGCAGTCCCACTGTCTCTTCCGACCACCAGGTTCCGTGGGGCTTCCAGCACCCCCAAAAAGAGCCTGGCCAAACCAGCCATAGGCGAGAGAGACCTTGTTGCCTTGGAGAGGGGGGACACGTCAAAAAGGGCCAGGGGGAAATGCTCCCACCCTCCACCTTTGAGGAGCACAAGGGTGGGGCTGGTGCAGTGTTCCCTCTAAGCTGAGTTAGTGTGCGCTAGCTCACAGTTTTTAAGCCTCCAGTTCACACATTTTTGTCTTGGCTCAGGAAGGGATGGCTCCAGATAAAACTAATTTATGCAGCAGCCCAATCGCTCGCTCACAACTTGAATGCCAGGAGCTCACCAAGTAGAGTTTTCGCTCACAAGACTGCACAGCTTAGAGGGAGCATTGTTGGGGCCCATTTGTGTCGGGCAAAACTTGAATGCTCCACCCAATATTTGCCTCCTTGCCAGAGGGACCCTGCAGTGATGCATTTATTGCTCCTAAAAGAGCAGGCAAAGAGGGAGCAGAGCCCCAACTCAGGAGCCAGGGCAGATGGAATTGGACTGATGGTTTCCTTTCTAGAACACTTCAACGCAACAGCAGCCCACCTGGAGAGCGGAGGCACAGGCAGTTTCTTCTGGTCTCCTCTGCAGCAGCTGGTGGAACCAGTCCCTTACTCTGCCCTACAAAACAGCCAGCGAGCCACAAAATGCCTGCACCGCCCACCCTACCTTTGCACGCTCCCGCAACTCCCAGGTGGTAAATGGCAGCCAGGACTCGCCAAATGGCTTTCTGCTCCTCCACCACGATTCCCAGGGTCTCCATGGCAGCTTGGAGCTGAGAAAACGCAGCCGATGCCTTCTGCTTCTCTTCACCCTGCAAGGAGAAATAGCAACAGAGGGAAGAAGGGGGGTGTGTGTCAGGTTTTTGGCAGGGTAGTTTCAGATGAAGAAGAAGAAGAAGAAGAAGAAGAAGAAGAAGAAGAAGAAGAAGAAGAAGAAGAAGAAGAAGAAGAAGAAGAAGAAGAAGAAGAGGAGGAGGAGGAGGAGGAGGAGGAGATTGGGTCTATACCCCGCCCTTCACTACCCAAGGGAGTCTCAGAGGGGCTCACACACCTCCTAAAAAAAACTCCCCACAACAGACACCCTCCTGTGAGGTCGGTGGGGCTGAGAGAGCTCTGACAGGAACTGCTCTTTTTTTTCAAGAATCAAACACCAAATGAAGGAGAATTCGGAAGACCTTGAGCACAAAGCAAAGCAAGAGACTGGGGCGCTTTGGGAAAGCCAGTTTGGTGTCGTGGTTAAGTGCGCGGACTCTAAACTGGGAGAACCGGGTTTGATTCCCCACTCCTCCACTTGCACCTGCTGGGTGACCTTGGGCAAGCCATAGTTCTGGCACAGCTGTCCTTGAAAAAGAGCAGTTTCTGTCAGAGCTCTCTCAGGCCCACCTACCTCACAGGGTGTCTGTTGTGGGGAGGGGAAGGGGAAGGAGTTTGTAAGCCGCTCTGAGACACTACTCCTTGGGTAGTGAAGGGTGGGGGATAAATCCAATCTCCTCTTCTTCTTCTTCTTCTTCTTCTTCTTCTTCTTCTTCTTCTTCTTCTTCTTCTTCTTCTTCCCGTGAAAGAATCCAGCAAAGACTGCAAGACGTTGAACAGCAGAGCTGAACACACGCGGCTGCCTCCGACTGAGTCAGACCCCCTTTGGTCTGTTCAGGTCAATCTTACCTACTCTGACTGGCAGTCGCTCTCCAGAATCTCAGGCAGAGAAAGGTCTTCCACCACGTCGCCTCCTGCCTGACCCTCATTTGCCCGGAAATGCTGCTGCAGGGGACTGAACCTCACCCTTCCTGCATGCAGGCCAGGGCCCACGGCCCCACCCTGCAGTGACCACTGTCCCACAAGCACAGGCAAAAGCCAGGTGTGAGGAGCAGCCAGGACTCTCAGTGCCTCTGGGGCAGAAGGAATCAAGTAGCCCTGGCAAGCCGAATGGACAGGCCAAAACCTGATCACCTCGCCTGCCACACAGGGGACTGAAGCCACCAGAGCGAGGAAGAGTGAGTGCCGGCCAGTGCCGAGAGTGCCACTGGACTGCAGCTTGGAGGGACCGAGTTCAAATTCCCCCATCTGCCATAAGGCTCACTGGGTCAGCCAAATTCTCAACCAAGCCAATTTCAAAGAACTGGGTTGGGAAAGTCCCGGAGATTTGGAGGTGGAGCCCGGGGGAAGGTGGGGTGTGGGGAGGGCCTTAGCGGGGTGCAGTGCCATAGCGCCGACCCTCCGGAGCAGGCCTTTTCTCCAGGGGCGACTGACCTCTCTTGCCTGAAGGCCAGTGGTAATTCTGGGAGATCTCCAGGCCCCACCCGGAGGTTGGCAGCACCTACAGTGTTTTGTGATTGTCAGCCTCAGAAGGCCCCAGTGACCAGTGTTCCCTCTAAACTGAGTGAGTGTGAGCCAGCTCACAGTTTTTTAGCCTCCGGCTCACACATTTTTGTCCTAGCTCAAGAAGGACGGCTCCAGAGCAAACTAATTTATGCAGGAGCCCAATCGCTCGCTCACTACCTTAATGCCAGTAGCTCACAAAGTAGAATTTTTGCTCACAAGACCCCACAGCTTAGAGGGAGCATTGCCGGTGACTGTGCTCCATTTCCGTCTCCAGCTGGGCCGGCTCCCTCCAGACCAAAAAAGCCCACCCCCCACCCCCACCCCTCTTAGTACTCTCTCAGGGCCTTCCGACAAGAGAGGCCCCCGGCTGCCCCCCACCCAATTCCCTCGAGGAGCTCTGGCTGAGTCAGCGGGCAGGGCAAGGGAAGGCCGCCTCGGCCGGCACACACGGCGGCACGGCCAACGCCTCTCTTTCTGCTCTCTCTTTCCCACTAACAAAGTGAGGGGGCTCCCTCGAAAGCTAAGGGGAGCCCCACTTGTGAGAACAACCTTTAATTGGATTTCAAATCTCTGGCATCTGCAAGAGCAGCACTTTGATGGCACCGTGCTCCAATATCTACATGTCTGTACTCCGGATTCGTGCCACACTTTTTTAAAAAAATTATTTTTATTAAGTTTTTCTCAAAGTAAGTAATAGTCAGTAGTGTTAAACTTACAGAACAGCATAAACAGCATAAATAGTTTGCAAAGCATTATAGTACTAGTGGTTTTACTTTGTTGTCAACAAGCTCAGTTTAGTACTGATAACCCTTGTGTTTAGGTAGATATAAAAGTGAGCTAATGCAAAGAAGTAATAGCGTGTGTCCCATTTAATTATATCATAACGATGTCAGAACTAGGCATTGCAGCATGGTCAAAGAGGTAAAGTTTAGTAGTCTAGTAATTTGAGTTTTGGGGTAGAGAGTCCGAAGCTGAGATATATTCCATAAGTGGAGTCCATTTCCCCGTAAAATTGGATGATTTAGGACAGATGTTTCTAAAACAAGGTGATCCCAAACTTTGTTTAGCCAGTTGGTACGTGTTGGAGCCTTGTCTGATTTCCATTTAGAGGCTATCGATGTTTTAGCAGCCACTATGAGGCTAGTGATCAAATTGTGACTGAACGTTGGTCTGGTTTTTGATTTCCAGATGCCTAAAAAGATTAGAGTTGGGTCGAATGGTACTTTGTAACCTGTGATTAGTTTTATTTGGTTTAGAACGTCTTGCCAAAAAGATCTGATGCTTCTACACTGCCACCAACAGTGGGCAAATGTTCCCACTTCTCCACATTTTTTTCCAACATTGAGGGGAATGAGAGGACGTTATTTTTGAAAGCTTCATGCCACAGTTATTTTGAATGGGAGCGGTCTAACCAGTGTTTACACAGGGCAGGAGAAAACTGCCACTGCAAGTCCCAGGAGTCGGAGAGGCCAATTCCACATTCGCCTGCAGCTGGGAGTGCAAATTAAGTGCCTGGATGAGGAAAGACACACCTGCTTCCCTGCGGGTAGCTGGGCGCATTGGGGCTGCTTCACGCATTATACAGTCTGTGTGGTGGACATCAGGCTGGTGGACCAAGACACCGGATCAGACACCAGGCGTTCCGTGCTGGCACCTTAATTCCCAGGTGTTTTTTGGGGGGGTTAGATAGAGGGGGGGGCTTGCTCCTTCCCCCTGTGCCGTTTTCCCAACCTGAAACAGCCCTGGGGAACCGCTGTCTGTCCCACTGGGAAAAATTAATGTAGCACACGGAACTTTCCCCAGCGGGCACACAGCAGCTCCTCAGAGTTGTTTCAGCTCAGGAAAATGGCACGAGGGAGGCTAGGCCCCTTCTCTCCACATGGGGGGGGGAGGCTCAGAGGCCTGGGAATGAAGAGCCCTGCAGGGAACTCCCAGAACCTTCCAGGTGGGGCCTGGACAGATGGAATCACAGCTCGTCTCCATCTTGCAATCAGTTTCCCTGGAGGAGAGGACTCCCTTGGAAGGCGGATTCCATAGCATTACACCTTGCTGCCGTCCCTCTCCTCCCCAAAACCCACCCTCCCTCGGCTCCACTCCCAAATCTCCAGGAACTCTGCAACCCAACGTTGGCACCCCTACCCAGAACACGTCTGCTGAAAGTCCACATGGAGGGGCGGCGTATATCGTAGGATGTAAGCGAGCCCCTTGCAGGTGAGCCCGTTTGATTATAACAGAGGGGGACTCGAGGAAGATCTTGCGGGCATCAGCAGAGGCCCACCTGGGCCGGCTGTGTTTTCCTCCTCTTCCTGCAGGTGTTTCACCCAGGAGGGGGCCAGAGACACAGGCCCTCGGGTAGGAGCCAAAAGGCCTGTGGCTCTTAGCCCAGGGCTTGCAACCTGATCCCTCGGGGGAAGGACCATGGCTCAGTGGCAGTGTTCCCTCTAAGCTGAGTTAGAGTGAGTTAGCTCGCAGTTTTTAGCCTCCGGCTCACACATTTCTGCCTTTGCTCAGGAAGGGATGGCTCCAGAGCATATTACAAGTTGAAAACACTCAGTGTATCTGGGGTTAAATGTTTGTTTGTGTTGCTCACAGGAAGTCACATGTTTCCCATGTAGCCAATGTTAGTTTAGATGCTGGAAGCCCGGGAAACTTCTCCTTGATCTAGGAGTTTGATTGGAACTAAGGTGTCAAAGTGTTTTAGCATTTTATGGCTCCTCTTCCTGTCTTTGTTTGCTGTTCTCAAGGAGAAGAAGAAGAGAAGCCATAACCATCTTCTAGTCTTGTCTTTTGTAGTGTAAGGATGTAGCCAATTTAGCTCTGTTGTTATTTTCATCCCAGTTACCCTTCCCTATGCTAGAATGTAGTAAAAACTTTCTATTTTAATCACACATGGACTCTGAGTCTGAATTATTTTACTCAGACTCTGCTGGGCTATATTATCTCTGCTAAATACGAATTTTCTTTTTTAAACCCAACAAAACTGATTGATGCAGCAGCCAAACCTCTCACTCACCACTTTGATGCCGCCAGCTCACAAAGTGGCATTTTTGCTCACAAGACTCCACAGCGTAGAGGGAGCATTGGTGCACAGAAGGTCCCAGGTCCAATTCCCGGCATCACCAGTGAAAGGATGCATCAGGGGGTGATGGGGAAGACCTTTCTCCGCCTGAGGCCCTGGAGAGCCACTCGGCCAGTCTGAGCGGACAAGACTGACTCTGAAGGACGCTGGGGGCCAAAGCACAAGGCGGCTTCGTGTGTTCAGGAGGGTCCAAGTGAGCCATGATGGTCAGATTAGCAGGCCCGGACCAGCCCAGATCTGGCTGTTTACTCTGTCTATTTGTTTCTGTAATTGGGGGGCGGGGGGCGGGGGGAAGCACCTTTATTTCATAAGCCCCTTTGTGTCCCTCCAGGGAGAAAAGCAGCCCCCAAATGCATCCATAATTAAACAAACAAACGTCGCAGCATGAAAAGGAACTGAGCTCAGGTTTAGCCATATCCCACAGAAGACAGTTTTCGCCCTACGGGATGCGGGTCTTTCACGCCTCTGGCCTACACGGCAGGGGGGGGGGACTTCTCAAGCAGAGCACAGCCACAATATAAATCCCTTCTTCTTGATCCACCCCCAACAACAACTCCGTTCCTTGATCCAGGCCAGTACTGCAGAGTGCCCCACGCTAACCACCAGCTATAGAGTTAACCTTGTTTGTGTTGGTCAACAGGAAGTCACATGTTTACTGTACCCAATCGAAAGCCAGTCGAATCTGACTCTAGGAGGCGGCGCTCGTCTCCGTTTCCAAGCCAAAGAGCCAGCGCTGTCCGAAGACATTTCCGTGGTCATGTGGCCGGCATGACTAAACGCCGAGGCGCACGGAATGCTGTTCCCTTCCTACCGCAGTGGTACCTATTTATCTACTTGCAATTTCTCGCTTTCAAACGGCTGGGTTGGCAGGAGCTGGGTAAGGTCGGTAGCTTGGCAGTTCGAGACCCGAGTGCCGCAGGACCCAATCTGTTACTAAGTGAGAAAAGCCCGGGAATCTTGTAGGAGGTCTTAGTAAAATGACCTGACCCTTTAGCCTTGTGACTGGAAATCAATGTATTGGCTGTTTAATAGATTGGGGTCTCCTTCCTCCTTTGGTTCTGGTTTGGAGAAGGAGACGCCATTCCTGTAGCAGTAAACACGTAGGAACCTAGTGTTTCTCATTTGGCATCCTGTTCACCTTCTTCCCAAGTTAGTTTCCAGTAAAGTTTTCTGTTTTCAAACATACACACGGTCTCAGACTCTCATTCATTGCTCCGCTGACTTAATCTCTGCTAAATGTACATTTTTCTAAGAGTACCAATCCAAAGTGTACTGCAGGACTTTAGAGAACTAGAAGGGGAATGGATCCAGCCCTGGTGCAGAGGAGGACCCTCTCCATTCATTCTGCTCCTGATTAAGCCTGTGCAGCCGCCCCCAATTCCACACTCCAGAGCACCTGGCGTGCTTGACGCAGCCAGCCCACGCGCGCACACACGGCGCTTCCAAACAGCCTTCGCAGGCTGCACTCCACAGACCCGCCTGCAGCCTTCCCTTCCCTTCACGACGGGGGTCTTGGAGGTCATCTTGCAACCGTGGCCCAGGGCTGCCCAGCAGCGGGCTTGCCAGGGAGATGGCTGGCACCTCCTCCACGCTCCTGTCCCCAGTCCCCCCCTTTCCTCCCTGCTAGGGAGCAGCCGTGCAAAGGACAAGGTCACTTTGGAGCCGGCCGGCACCTCCAAGCAGACGCTGAACAGCAAAGCAGCCATCTGGCCTCCCTTGGAATCAAGCGCACTTGGCAGCCGGCCGGTCCAAGCTCTCTGCCTTTGGACACGACCCCTAAAAGGGCTCCCCTGCTGCCAGAGCCTCTTCCTGACCCCAAACAAAGAAAGCCGGCCGACCACAGCCTGCCAGGAAAGCCAGAGCCTCGAGAAGAGACGAGGCCAGCTCCAAGGCCCACCCCGCCACCCCCAGGCCACTGGCCTGATCCAACATTGGCTTCTCTTATGTTCTTATACAGTGCAGAGGTCCATCGGTGGCTATCAGCCACAAGGTCTAGAGAGGGACTCTCAGTCTGGGGCAGGGGATGCTCTGTCTTCTTGGTGCTTGGGGGGGTCAACAGTGGGAGGGCTCCTGGTGTCCTGTCCCCACTGCTGGACCTCCTGATGGCACCTGGTATTTTTGGCCACTGTGTGACAGAGTGTTGGACTGGATGGGCCACTGGCCTGATCCAACATTGGCTTCTCTTATGTTCTTATACAGTGCAGAGGTCCATCGGTGGCTATCAGCCACAAGGTATAGATAGGAACTCTCCGTCTGGGGCAGGGGATGCTCTGTATTCTTGGTGCTTGGGGGGGGGCAACAGTGGGAGGGCTCCTAGTGTCCTGGCCCCACTGCTGGACCTCCTGATGCCACCTAGTATTTTTGGCCACTGTGTGACACAGAATGTTGGACTGGATGGGCCACTGGCCTGATCCAGCATTGGCTTCTCTTATGTTCTTATAGGAACTCTCAGTCTGCGGCAAGGGATGCTCTGTATTCTTGGGGTTGGGGCAATAGTGGGAGGGCTTCTGGTGTTCTGGCCCCACTACTGGACCTCCTGATGGCCCCTGGTATTTTTGGCTACGGTGTGACAGAGTGTTGGACTGGATGGGCAACTGGCCTGATCCAACATTGGCTTCTCTTATGTTTTTATGTTCTTAAACATATGGAGCAGAGGTCCATCAGTGGCTATGAGCCACAAGTTATAGATAGGAACTCTTAGTCTCAGGCAAGTGATCTTCCGTATTCTTGGTGCTTGGGGGGGGGCAACAGCGGGAGGGCTCCTAGTGTCCTCCTGGCCTCACTGCTGGACCTCCTGAGGGCACCTGGTATTTCTGGCCACTGTGTGACAGAGTGTTGGACTAGATGAGCCATTGGCCTGATCCAACATTGGCTTCTCTTATGTTCTTATGTTCCCAATACTTCCTCTGAACTTTATCTACCACACTGCTCTCTGCCACACTTGTATCTTCCTTCTGGCTTGAGTTTATCTTGGCCTGTGCCCACCTCAGGCTTGGAGCCAGCCCACTCCTTCGATGCAGCCAGCATCCTGGCCCAGCTCTGCTTGTGCGTCACATCACCCTGCCTGCCAGCCGCCAACCCACATGGGCTTTTAAGCTTCCCTACCTTCATGCACGGGTGAATGCCAAAAGCGTTGCTGTCCACCATGTGATGCAGATGCAGGGTCGTCCTGGAGACACAAAGGTGAAAAAAGACAACATTCAGCCACCACCAGATCCCAAGGCTACCCCAAGAGCCAGGTCAGGGGGGTCCCTCCCTCCCCCTTGGGCCAGGAGGAGCCGGTCCCAAGAAGAGGGACCCTAGGAAGGGTCAGAGCGGACGGTGGTCCCTGGGGGGGCGAAACAGGCACTCGGGGTGGAGCTCTGTTCGAGGGGAGCCGTGCTGGTCTGCCGTAGAACAGATCAATCCAAGTCCAGGTGCACCCCAGGGACCAAGAAGATTTCGGAGGGGTGGGGATGAGCTTTTGAGAGTCAAAGACCTCCCTTTGTCAGATACCCCCAAAATCCCGTTGGTCTCTAAGGTGCTAAAAAGGTAAAGGTTTCCCTTGCTCGAGAGCCAGTCGAATCCAACTCTAGGGGACGGTACTCATCTCCGTTTCCAAGCCGAAGAGCCAGCGCTGTCCGAAGACATTTCTGTGGTCATGTGGACAAGGTGCACGGAACGCTGTTACCTTCCCACCAAAGTGGTACCTATTTACCTACTTGCAGTTTCTTGCTTTCGAACTGCTCGGTTGGCAGGAGCTGGAACTAGAGACGGGCACTCACTCCGTCATGCGGCACACTTGGGTCTCGAACTGCCGAAGTACAGACCTTTCGGTCTGCAGTTCAGCATCTTAACCTCTGAGCCATCGCAGCCCCCCTCTAAGGTGCTACGGAACTCAAATTTAGCTGTTCAGACTGGGGAGAAATTGCTCCTCATCATGAGTTGGTAGCTTGTGGGAAAGGCTGTTTCCCCCATTCACCCTCTTGAGGTTCACCTTCCAGCAGACCCGTGATGTCAAAGCCTCCTGGGTGTCCGAGGAAGGGAGGCGAGGCCCTCACAAGCGCATAACCCCCAAATCTGGTTGGCCTCAAAAGTGCTCCTGGACTCGAACTCAGCTGTGTCAGGAGGGTTTTCAATATCCTGCGGCAAAGAATCACTGAGTGCTGCCCGGCCCGGAGAACAGAAAGGGGACTCAGATTTCACAGAGGTGGACGCAGGTCCTGCTGCCACAGAACCCACACGGGGACCTCATTGCTGCCCATGCCGCATAGCCCAGGAATACTAAAAGACCAAAGGTGTCGAACTCATTTGTTACGAGGGCCAGATCTGACATAAATGTCACTCTGTCGGGCTGGGCCACGTCACGTGTGCCATAAAATGTAATGCCAGGTACCGGAGATATAAACTTTATAAAGGACACAGGCAAACCCAATTGACAATATTGTTTTTTACTCAAAATACAAACAAAAGCAATTGATTTCTAGCAGTGAAAGCAATTGTTTTACTGAGGAACCCACAGAAGCCCCAATAAATGCATTTAATCACATGCAAAATTAGTTTTTTTCCAAGGGGTTCTATAAAAAGGAGACTGGATTTATACCCCACCCTTCACTCAGAGTCTCAGAGCGGCTTACGAATTCCTTTCCTTTCCCTTCCCCTCCCCACAACAGACTCCCTGTGAGGGAGGTGGGGCTGAGAGAGCTCTGACAGAAACTGCTCTTTTTCAAGAACGGCTGTGCCAGAACTATGGCTTGCCCAAGGTCATCCAGCAGGTGCAAGTGGAGGAGTGGGGAATGAAACCCGGTTTTCCCAGATTAGAGTCCGCGCACTTAACCACTGCACCAGACTGGCCTACCTTACATTTCCATACATACCAGTACCATTTCCATAAATACCAGTTGCTTGTGGGCCAGGTAAGAGCCCTAGATGGGTCTGTTCCGGCCCTCGGGCCTTATGTTTGACACCCCTGCACTAGACAGAGTTGCTCTCTACGGACATCTGAAGAGTGGGCTCTGACCCGTGAAAGCTCCGGCCAGAAACAGTGTTGTTAGTCTTTAGGGTGCCCCTGGGCTTCTGTTTCATTTCTCGAAGGGCAGCAGAGTGAATTGGAATGGCTCATGGCACAACCGGCGCAAGCCCATTCACACATGATGCTAGAGGCACTGTCCACTCACAGATGCCATCCTCCCCACCCGGTGGCACAGAAAGCCACAGGTGGGCAACTGCCCCTAGGCAAAGAGGCCCCGGGATCCGACCTTGGCTTGGAACGGCACTGCAAACGCGGCTGACCTTTGCATATTTGCCTTAGAAAAGAAAGCGGGGAGGGCAGAAGAGTCGCCAGCTGGTTTCTCCTGGCCTATCGCTGCTCCCAAACCCTATTAAATCAGGCCAGGAAGGGGCCAGGTGGAAGCAGCCATGGGTCCAGCCCCCTGGATCCCCCTCCCCAGAACACTTGCTGCTTCTCGGAGGATCCCCAGCGCCAGGCGCGCCAGCACTGCTCGCCGCCTCTCTCGCCAAGCCTAGCACACCCTTTTCTCCAAGCAGCTCCGAGCAATTTCCTGCTCCAAGTTGCAAGCCAGGCTCCAGCGTGGGATTCTGCCAGAGGCTTCAACCAGCCCTACCCAGGCATTTCTCGGCTTTCCTGCCCCCTCTGCTGGCAAAGCGGAGCACCGTCACCATCCAACGGATGGTGACTCCCAGGCAGTACCTGGTGTGCATTGTGCCGGCTCACACGCTCCTTGTTTCTACGGCTTCTGCAAAAACTTACAGTTGGCCCTTCTCTGTGAAAGTCGACTGAGACGCTGCTCAGAGTTTTCCAGTTGAGAAAGAAAGAAGATCCCCTGTGTTAAGCATTGGGATTGAATCATCCCTGACTGAACCACCCCACAGACTGGCTGAGCTTGGAGCACAAGAACAATAGCTGACCAGGACTCTGGAAGAAACCAATCAAGTAGTAATGTTTTGTAAATAGCCTATCACTGGGAGTGGGGGGGGGGGGTTTGGGGGTGGCGACTGAATGCTATTAAACAGAGCTGAGGTTCTGGGGTCTTGTCTTGTAGTTTTGCTGCAATGCGTCTAGAGCCCAGTCTTTAACACCCTGGCTCCACAAGCGTCCTGTAAATGGAGCTGTTTCCTCTCATCCCAAAGCCCCGGTTCACCCAGTGAAGCAGAGACGAAAAGCAAGTACATCTCCCTGCAAGAGCACCCCCTGCCCCGAGAGGTGATCACCACTACGTGCTTATTTAGCTTAACAGAGGAGTAAGAGCTTTTATGGCTCACTGAGGAGGGGCGTGGCTCAGGGGCAGAGTCTCTGCTTGGCATGCCAAAGGTCCCAGGTCCAGTCCTTGGCATCTTCAGTTGAAAGGGCCGGGCAGTAGGTGATGGGAAAGACCTTCCTCTGCTTGAGACCCTGGAGAGCTGCTGCCAGTCTGAGTAGACGGTACCCACCTGGACAGACCGACGGTCTGATTCTGCATAAGGCAGCTTCGTGTGTTTGTGCGGGTAGCCAGCTCAGTGGCACCTCCATGTACAAGAGCAGCTTACATGCGTTTACAGCCTGGGTTGACAAGTCACCATCGTGCCCCACCGCTGGACTTCCAGAAGGACTGGAAAGACGCTGGGGCCTGCAGCGGCACTGGACGCGTGCCCACACGAAGCTGCCTTTGCCTGGATCAGGCCCTCGGTCTCTCCGGCTCAGTTCTGCCTCCTCCGAGTGGCAACGCCTTGCTCGTCACCTACAGCCTGACCCTTTTAGCGGGAGGTGCCGCAGCTGGGGACTGAAACCGGCACCTTCTGCATGGTGGGCGGGTGCCCTGCCCCTGAGCCACAGCCCTTCTAGTGGCACAACATCTCCTCCTGTCTGCACCAAAACCACCCAGCAAAGAGTGTGTATCCCATCACCCCCCCACACACACGCACACACACACACCAGCTGCCTTTGTGGCCGTACCTCTGATCCAAATCCAGCCCTGCCAGCATTTGGGAGAAGATGCTGAAGTTGCTCTCGCCCTCCGGCTGCTGCGCCACCCGGATCCTCTCCAGCAGCATGGTCTGGACAGATGAGAGACGGGGAGGAAGTGAGTGTGTGCGTGCTCCGGAGCCGGCAGCCCAACAGCAGAGGCCGCAGTGGCAGGCTCACACCCGGGGCTCAGGGCTTCAAGGGCTGCCTGCTCTCAGGCCCCGGAGTTCAGTGCGCTGCTGCTGCTGTTGTGCAGTCCCAAGTGAAAGAGTGAGTTTTGGACTGGCTTAGGCAGCTGCGGGCTTCCCAGCTACACAAAACTCTTTGTTGTGCCTGATGAAGAGTTCTGCGAAGCCCTCAGACCCCCACACCCCAGGCCAGCCCAGTCACAATACAGGAGGAGGGTCTTGCCGGCACACCTGTAACTCCCTCCCGCACGCCGGCCCCTCTCCCTCTTCCCTCCAAGCAACCCCCCCCCCCAGGAAGCCTTTAGGTGAAGCCCTTCATCCTCATCCCCCCCACCCTCCAGATCAGGGTTGCCACCTCTGGGCTGTGAAATTCCTGGAGATTTAGCGCTGGAGCCTGTGGAGGGAGGGGTTTAGGGAGGGGAGGGGCCTCGGAGAGGCAGAGCCCACCCTCCAAAGCAGCCCTTTTCTCCAGGGGGAGTGATTTCTACAACCTGGAGATTGTAATTCTGGATCTCCAGGCCCCACCTGGAGGTTGGCAATCCTGGCCCAGACTGGGAAGTGGTGGCAGGAGCAACAAGCTCCACCCACCTTCACCTTGCTCTCCCCTCCTCCCCGTGATTGCCCTGCCCTCGGCAACACCGAGGCTGTAAGCTCCTTGGGGCAGGAACCTCTCTGCACCAGAGCCTGGGGGGTGGCCGAGGAATGCACGGAGAACCACGAGCACAGGTCACCCACCCCTGTGCCCCTTCTCTGGGAGACTCTCTCGGAGGGAGACTCAAGGACAAAAGAAGAAATGCCCAGTCAAAGGCCAACAACGCCTCCAGAGATCCCTTTCCAAAGAGCCCTGGCAAGACCACCAGTCCCCTTTCGCCACGGGAGGCTCCCCCTCCCCACGCCTGGCCTCACACACACACCCCGACGGAGGGAGGCACAGTTGTGGGCCAGCACCATCACCTGCAGGTGAGCAGCCGTGATCCGGCCCGTGGCGCTGAAATCCAGGGCCACGACCATCGAGAAGCGGGTGGCAGCTGGGCTGTGGCCGCTGGAGACCGTCCCAAAGGCTTTGAGCACCGTGAACATGGCCTGGATCTTCTCCACTGCAAAACCCAACAATGGGGGGGGGGTCAGGAAAGGAGCCAAACACACCGATCTCCCACCCCCACCCCCACCCCCCCAGCAATGCGCAGAAGCCTCAGAAACATTTGCCGGGAGGAGCACATGTGTAGTGTACTGAGCCTGGGTCATCCCTGGGTTAGTATCCCAGGCTGTCTGAGCTTGTTGCTCCGGAACAATAGCTTGCCAGGATTCTGGAGGGAATCAAGAGGGAATTGGATAAGCATCTGGAGCAGAGGTCCATCACTGGCTATTAGCCACAAGGTATAGAGAGGAACTCTCAGGCTGGGGCAAGTGATGCTCTGTATTCTTGGTGCTTGGGGGGGAGGGGCAACAGTGGGAGGGCTCCTGGTGTCCTGGCCCCACTGCTGGACCTCCTGATGGCCCCTGGTATTTCTGGCCACTGTGTGACACAGAGTGTTGGACTGGATGGGCCACTGGCCTGATCCAACACTGGCTTCTCTTATGTTCTTATGAAGGGGACCAATAGGGAAGTTGTGTTATGTAAATAGCCTATCGTTGGGAGTGGGGTGTGTTTGGGGTGTGGCGCTTGCATACTATTGAAACAGGGAGGCAGCCCTGGAGTCTGTCTTGTAGTGTTCCTGAAATCACTTCATAAAGTAGAGCTGTTCACTGTAATGCCTCTTGAACCCAGTATTTAATAACATGTTTCTCACCCGATCCTGCCCACTCTTCTTCCCCACCACCATGTGAGACAAGGAGGAGGAGGAGAAGAAGAGGAGGAGGAGACTGGATTTATATCCCACCCTTCACTACCCAAAGGAGTCTCAGAGCGGCTTACAAACTCCTTTCCCCTCCCCTCCCCACAACAGACACCCTGGCTGTGAGGCAGGTGGGGCTGAGAGAGCTCTGACAGAAAGTGCCCTTGAGAGAACAGCTCTGAGAGAACTTGTGACTGACCCAATGTCACTCCAGCAGCTGCATGTGGAGGAGGAGTGGGGACTCAAACCCGGTTCTCCCAGATGAGAGTCCACACACTTAACCACGACACCAAACTGCGAGCCGTGTAATGGCGGCAGCAGAGGGGGGGGCTGCCATTATCCTGACCAGCCCAAGGCAATGGAGGACCTACTAGTGAGGGAGGCATTTTCAGTTCTACAGTCTGAGGATGACAGGACGTTGTGGCCAGACTGCTACCGGAGCCCCTCCCAGAAGTCCAGCTCCAGCCCGCCTGCTGCGCCCCCACGGTGGGTGGCCGTGCATACCTGTGACGCGGTTGTCCAGGCTGCCCGCAGTGGCCACCAGGTACTCCAGGGCCTGCAGGCAGCAGCTGGTCTTGCCGGCCCCGCTCCGGCCCAAGGGCAGGATGGTCTGGTCCTGCCGCTGCATCAGCATGGTCCAGTACGCTCTCTGTGCCACAGAGAAGATGTGCGGGGGCATCCCGTCCCGCTTCCCTTTGAATGCCTGCGGACGGGAAAGACACTACCTGAGCGGCGGCAGCAAATGTCGCTGGGGCCAATACTCTCCGGGCCCAACTAGACGTGCGACAGCGGCCTCAGGGCTGCCACAAGGACGCCACCACGCCATTTCAAAGCCACGTTAAAATGCCCCAAGGCACTCTCGCCCCCCCCAGGCCTGAAACAACCACACACACACACACACACCTGGCATCTCTTTTGGCACTTGAAAAAGCAGAGTGGGATCTGGCCCTTGCAGACTTTCTGAGCTACCTTCACCTGGTAGGGAATTGTCCTTGTGGCAGCCCAGCAGAGATGGCCGTGTCTTGCTCGGCCTTCAGCCTCGCGGGGTGAGAGTTGCCAGCCTCCAGGAGGCAGAAGCCAAGAACGAGAGATCACGGGAGGATGTGGAATGCCACAAACAACATCCGCGACAAAAACAACGAAGAGTCAAGAAAGATAAGCTGCAAAAATGTTTACTGTAGTAATTCTACAGTGATTATAGAAGAAATTTACAGAATTACTACAGTAAACATTTTTGCAACTTATCTTTATTCACTCTTTATTGACATTTTTGCAACTTATCTTTATTGGGCACCACATTTTAGGAAGGATGTTGACAAGCTCGAGCGTGTCCAGAAGAGGGCAACCAGGATGGTGAGAGGGTTGGAATCCAAGTCTTACGAGGAAAGGCTGAAAGAGTTGGGTATGTTCAGCCTGGGAAAGAGAAGGCTTAGAGGGGACATGATTACAGTCCTCAAGTATTTGAAGGGCTGTCATGTAGAAGATGGGGCAGATCTATTCTCTCTTGCTCTGGATTGCAAGACTAGATCTAATGGGTGGAAATTACCAGGGAGTTGATATACCGACTGAATATCAGGAGAAACTTCCTAACTGTCAGAGTGGTTGAGCAGTGGAACAGTCTGCCTTGGGAAGTGGTGGAGGCTCCTTCGCTGGACGTTTCCAAGCGGAGGCTGGACGACCATCCTTTGGGTATGTTGTAGGGCTGTAGGGCTCTCTTTCGGCTGTGCACCTGCAGAGTGCAGGGGGTTGGACTAGATGACCTGCAAGGTCCCTTCCAACTCTAACATTCTACAATTCTATGATTCTATGACTCTTCGTTACTTTTGTTGCGGATGTTGTTTTTGGCATTCAACCTTCAGGAGGTGGTTCCCCTGGAGAAAAGGGCTGCTTTGGAGGAGGGTGGGCTCCGTATGGCACTGCACCCTGGCTGAGGTCCCTCCCCTCCCCAAACTGCACCCCCCCCCAAAAAAAGAAAATCTCCTGGAATCTCCCAGTCCAGCGCTGGCCACCCCATCAGGGCCTCATGCCAGACCTGTTCTCATGATCAGGGTGAGAGAAGCCCAGGACAAGACAACACACACTGCTGCCCTCCTGGCGCGCTTCCGTAGTCCAAGAAGCCATTTCCTTATTATGCTGCTTAGACGGTCTGACGCTTCTCCATTAAAAAAGGCCTCAGACGGCTTACAACAAAGCCAATGAACAGGGCTCCCACTGGGCCCACTGCAGCTCCCAGGAAGGGCTCTCCCATCATCACACCTCCAGACCTCTGGGAAGGACTGCTGGTCTCCCAGCTGTGGGTGGCAGAAGCCAGGTGTTTTTGCCAAGCCCCTTTCCCAGATGGATGACCCTCTGGCGCCACCTGGTGGGCATTCTGAGAAGCCTGGCAGGCAGCTCCAGCAGAGACCGGCCTGCTCCGGAGTGCAAAGTCGCTTCCTTGTCCCACGAGGCAAGCGCCAGGTGATGCTTCTTGTCCCTCCAGGCTGACGTTCACCAGGAAGCGACTGAGCCTCAGAGCATCGGAACGCACACTGCCGGCCGGGTCGTTTCCGAAGCTCTCCCCTCCCACGGAGTGAGCTTGTGGGTTCCACCAGCCCTGCGCCTCGGAACAGCCTGTGCCGAACCAGGCCCGGGAGAAAACTGGCACCAATTAAACCAAAAGCGAGGAGAGCACTCGGGAAGAGAAGGATCCTAGAGGCGGAGAGGATGCCTCTGCCATCACAACCCCCCCCCCGACCACCAGTGAGGGCTGGGGGGCAGAGCTGCTAGATCCAGGTCGGGAAATTCCTGGAAACTTTGGGGGTGGAGCCTGGGAAACACAGGGTTTGGGGAGGGGAGGGACCTCAGCGCGGGGGGGGGGTACAGTCCTATATAGAGCCCACCCTCCAAAGCAGCCCTTTTCTCCAGGGGAACAACTGATCTCTGTAGTCTGGGGAGGAGCTGGAATTCCAGGGGATCCCCAGGTCCCACCTGGAGGCTGGCATCCCTACACCCCCCCAAATTTAAGACAACAGCCCAGCCTTCTTCTTCTGCCTTCTGTTCCTAGTCTGCCTCGCATGGCACAGATCGACCCTCTTAGCAGCTCTGCATCTTTTGCTCCAAAGCAGTTTGCCATGCCAGAGTATCTTCTTTGCCCTCAGTGGCAGGACGGGTCTCGGATGTGCAGCCGAGCATCTCAACACTCGGGTGGCCCACCTCCAGGTGGGGGCGGGAGATCTCCCAAAATGGCAGCTGATCTCCAGGCGACAGAGAGCAAGCGGCCACCTGCCGGGGTCCTTCCCTCCCCCAGACCCTGGCCTCCTCAGGGCCTGCCCCCAAATCTCCGGGGTTTCCCCAACCCAGAGTTGGCATCCCTATGGCCCACGCCCTGAAGTGAGCAGGAGTGCTCTCCCCTAGAATTGCTTCCGGCGCCCAGGCGGAAATGCATCTGGCTCCGGTTCTCGCTGCCACTGCTGCCGTGGGCCACCAAAGTTTGGCCGGCAGCGAGACCCAGAGCGAATGTCCGGATTCCCCCCACGGGAGGGATTTTGAGGGAAGCCAAAGAGTTTTCCTTAGGGATATGCTGAACTTCTTCAGCCACCCGAAGCACAAGGTCTAGATAGGAACTCTCCGTCTGGGGCAAGGGATGCTCTGTGTTCTTGGTGCTTGGGGGGGAACAGTGGGAAGGCTTCTAGTGTCCTGGCCCCACTGCTGGACCTCCTGAGGGCACCTGGTATTTTTGGCCACTGTGTGACACAGAGTGTTGGAGTGGAGGGGCCCTTGGCCTGATCCAACACTGGCTTCTCTCTTATGTTTTTATGTTCTTAAGCATATGTAGCAGAGATTCATCAGTGGCTATGAGCCACAAGGTATAGATAGGAACTCTCAGGTTGGGGCAAGTGATGCTCTGTCTTCTTGGTGCTTGGTGGGGGGGGGGCAAGTGTGTGAGGGCTTCTAGTGCCCCGTCCCCACTGCTGGACCTCCTGAGGGCACCTGGTCTTTTTGGCCACTGTGTGACACAGAGTGTTGGACTGGGGGGGGCCTTGGCCTGATCCAACACTGGCTTCTCTCTTATGTTTTTATGTTCTTAAGCATATGTAGCAGAGATTCATCAGTGGCTATGAGCCACAAGGTATAGATAGGAACTCTCAGGTTGGGGCAAGTGATGCTCTGTCTTCTTGGTGCTTGGGGGGGGGGGCCTGGTCTTTTTGGCCCTTGTGTGACACAGAGTGTTGGACTGGGGGGCCACTGGTCTCATCCAACACTGGCTTCTCTCTTATGTTCTTAAACATATGTAGCAGAGATTCATCAGTGGCTCTTAGCCACAAGGTATAGATAGGAACTCTCGGTCTGGGGCAAGGGATGCTCTGTCTTCTTGTGCTTGGGGGGGGGCAACAGTGGGAGGGCTCCTGGTGTCCTGGCCCCACTGCTGGACCTCCTGATGGCCCCTGGTATTTCTGGCCACTGTGGGACACAGAGTGTTGGACTGGAGGGGCCACTGGCCTGATCCAACACTGGCTTCTCTCTTATGTTCTTGTGTTCCTCCTGGAGGGATCTGAACCCGGGGCGCCCTTGCCCTGCCCAGGACTCCACACGAGGAATGTGACGGGTGAGCAAGGGCCCCGCTCCGCATCACAGCGGGACAGGCTACTTTCTCAAGCAATGGCTGCCTCCCCAAGTGAGGCAGAGGCTTCTCTGCAGAGCTTGCTTTGCATTCATTAAGGGACCCCCCCTTCCCAGATTCCCAGAGCCGCTCAGAAACAGGAGGTCTCTCTCTCTCTCTCTCTCTCTCTCTCTCTCTCTCTCTCTCTCTCTCACCCCCCCCCCCCCTCCCCTCTTTGTACTCTCCCCCCCCCCCCCCCCTCCCTACCTTCTTTGAGGAGCTGGTTGCAGAGGAGCCAGGCTGGATGGCTATCAAGTTGGTGCCGGCGTAGGTGTAGGGCAGCTGTGACTGGTACCGGTGCTGGAGGGTGTGGAGGACACTCGACTCATTCAGAGAGATCAGGGAGGCCAGGTCTTCGGCGTAGTCGAACCTGGAAGGATTGGTCTGTCACGGTGGAGAGATGCAAGCCACAAAATGAGCCCTGGCAACGTTGCCCTTGCCCCGACCCCCGCCCTGCCTTCACACACCCCCACTGGAAGATGGGGCACGGGAGAGGTGCCCAAGCAGGTCCTGGGGAGGAGCCTTCGCTTGGCCGAGCCGAGGCACAAAAGGGTCTCAGACGAGAGCGGTGGGGCCACGGTGGTGCTCATTTCCTCTCGAGGCCACCTCTCAAAGGGCTGTCCGGCTCACAAGCCAGGAGGGAGCAGGGTTTTTGAGGGCGTGTGTGACAGGGTGCCCGGCCATAGGTAGCCAGCAGTGTTCCCTCTAAGCTGAGTTAGTGTGAGCCAGGGGTCACTTCCTGCAGGAGCGCACAGGAGCAGAGCTCTGGCAGTAAAGAGCCCAGGGGGCGGGCACATGCAACAAGCCCCACCCTCTGCTCCCAGCAGCCCTCAGTCAGAGCAAGAAGCAGCCAGGTAAGTTGCAGAGCCCCCCCCCCCACGGTCCAAAACAGTCCCGTGGCACCTTTAAGACCAAGTTTTATTCAGGTACAAGCTCTCCTTCCTCTGCGAGGACAGATCTGCGCGTCCCCCCCCCCCAATAGCTAGCAATCCAAAACAGTCCAGTGGAGCCTGAGTGGTGGGTGTTGCCTTCTGACACACTTCCGGTGATGTCAGGGGGTGTGGCATATGCAAATGAGTTATGCTAATGAGCTATGCTAATGAGCCCCTGCACCTCTTTTTCTACGCAATGACCCCTGTGAGCTATCTCACAGTTTTTTAGCCACCGGCTCACACAGTTTTGCCTTAACTCAAGAAGGAGGGCTCCAGAGCAAACTCATTTATGTAGTAGCCCAATCTCTCGCTCACAACCTTAATGCCAGTAGCTCACAAAGTAGAATTTTACTCACAAGACTCCACAGTTTAGAGGGCGCATGGGTAGCCAGCCGGCTGGTAACAGCTCTGGGTGTGCTGCTTAGAGCTTGAAGGGATGGGAAATGTCCTTGCCCCGCTCTTCTCATGTAAGTAGGAAGGCCGCTACATCATTCACCAAGACAGGGAGGAGACATTTTCTTTCAAGAAAATCCTGCCCTTCCAATGGGGAGGGGATAAGCCAGGCATGGTGGGGAGGGGGGGCGGCCTTTACAGCTTGAAGCGAGACCTTTGCTCTCCAAAACATCCCTCCTCCTATTTAAACTCTCTGTTCCAAGAGCCAGTGGCTTGAGCATGCCCCCTCCAACTGGGAAAGGATGAGGACCGGCAGGGAGACGGCAGGCAGGGACCCGTGTCTGTGTGTGTATGTGTGTGAGTATGAATGCATTCTGTGCACATGGCATGGAGCGCTGCCTATCAAGAGTTTGCAAGTGGTCATCAGCCACAGAAATTAGCAGGAGTCCAGTAGCACCTGAAAGACTAAGGAGATACGTGGCAGGGGAGGAGCTTTTGTGAACCACGGCTCACTTCTTTAGATACTCATGAAAGCCCCTACCCTGCCACCAATGTTCCCTCTAAGCTGTGGAGTCTTGTGAGCAAAAATTGTACTTTGTGAGCTACTGGCATGAAAGTTGTGAGTGAGCGATTTGGCTCCTGCATAAATTAGTTTGCTCTGGAGCCCTCCTTCCTGAGCTGAGACAAAAAGTGTGGAGCCGGAGGCTAAAAAACTGTGAGCTGGCTCACACTAACTCAGCTTAGAGGGAACACTGCCTGCCACACATTGTGTCAGTCTTTCAGGTGTTCCTGGACTCTGGCTCTTTTCTACTGCCTAACTAATGTGGCCACCCATCTGGATCTATCTCCAAGTGCTCAAGAAAGAGGCTTGCAGAAAAGCTAGCAGTTCCAGGATGAGCGCAGCGGAGCGGAATCCCCCCCCCACACACACACACACACACTGCACGGGAGTGTTGAGGAACCACAAGAGGTCTGCCGGGAGATGGAGGAGGGATCCGCACTCACTCTGTGGACGTTTTCTTCATCCACCTCGATGACGGAGCCGTCTGCTTCCACTCGGACCCGGACTCTCCCTTGAGGTAGCTCTGGAGTCCCAACATCTGGCTTGAGCTGGGTAGCTGTAAGAACAAGAGCGACAGCACGGTAAGAAGCCGGCGTCTTTCCCTCAAGGATGTCAGTCACCGAAAGGGAGGCCCAGACTGAGCAGAGCAGGCCCTGGATCCTCAGTAGCTGGCCTCCCCCCTCCCCCTGGTGCAAAGACCTCAAGGGGAGGGGAGGGCAAGAGAAGGCCTTTCTCTCTCTCTCTCTCACACACACACACACACACCAGCTCACAGGCCATGCAAAGAGCTGAGCCCCAGTCAGATCCCTCGGAGGAGCAGGCAGATCTTGGAAGCACCAGCGGGCTGACCGGCCACAGGCAGCGGCACCCAGATGACAACCGCTCAGAGTCTTGGGGGGGGGGCATGTCTGTCTGCAGCCTGCCCCCTGTGCTGCCAGAGGTCCGACACCCCCCCCTCCATTTCTATGCCTGGCCTCCCAGCCCAGAAGAATCACACAGCCCGCCAAACGCGGGGGCTAGCGCTGCATCATGCCCAAGACCCAACCACAGGGCTCCAGGTTCAAAGCCCGGAGTTCCTCATGGCGACGAAGGAACAAAAAACCTGTCCACCTCCAGAGCTGTTACCGACACTACTTTTTTCTCACAGGGTCTACTCTGGAGTAGGCCATAAGCGGCGATATCATCTCTCTCCCCACTCCTTGCTCTGTAGTGCATGGTCCCACGCGTCAGCCGCGCCTCTTGGACTTGGCTAGACCTTGTTCCTCTCCCCCATCTTACCTCCCCCTCCCCCAGCTTGGGGAGACACTTTGGTTAAACTCACATTCCCACCAACGCGCCCTCGAAGCCGTGGAGTCTTGGGAGCAAAAATCCTACTTTGTGAGCTACGGGCATTAAAGTCGTGAGTGAGCGACTGGGCTGCTGCATAAATTGGTTTGCTCTGGACCCCCATCCTTCCCCGGCTGAGACAGAAATGTGTGAGCCGGAGGCTAATAAACGGTGAGCTGGCTCACACTGACTCGGCTTAGAGGGGACACTGATTCCCACCCGCCCAACCACCCGAAGGAACACCTATGCCATCCCTCTCTGCTTCCACCGCCTCCTGGCTCCTGACGCCAAACCCAGCAGCCGCCTTACCGAGAGCGAATCCCTCCTTCTGGACCAGCCACACCTTCTCTGTTTCATACCACACGTCCTCATCCTCCTCCTCCGGTGGCGCCTGGCAAGGGAAAGAGAGGAGAGTCCAGTCAGTGAATGGGGGGCTCCCTGAGCCTGCCTGCCTTCCCCCTCTGCCTCTCTCAGCCCCCCCCCCGACTCTGGCCTGCTGCTCCGGGGCCTTCCTGAGTCTAGTGGCTGCCGGAGCCCCACCCAGCCGCTCCCCCCCTGCGAATAGTGACATACAACAAGTACCGTGCACAGACGATTATAACATATCATAAACAATTTTACATTTTCTGAAAAATATTTTTACAGTAATTTCTACATATATAATAAATCATCTTAATCAAAAATACCAAAAATCATCTCCAAGAATCTCAAAAGCTATTGTACAACCTTTAATAATAGTCCTCCTCTGTTAAATAAAAGTTTCAAAAGGGAGGACTCCTTAGAGTCTCTTTATAACATGTGCTCGTGTCTTCCTATTGTAAAAATATTTTTTTTAAAAAATATAAAATTATTTATGGTATGTTATAATCATCTGTGCACGGTACTGGTTGTATGTTGGTTTTCCTACTTACCGTGGGTCCTTGTTTGGTTCTGTGAACCCCTGCGAATAGTGGCAGGAGGGAACCAGGCCCGGAGCAACGGCCCAGAGGGGGTGCCGGCAGTGAGAGAGGGTCCAGTGGGACTGCCAGGGCAATTGAAGAAGAGGAGGAGGAGGAGGAGGAGGAGATTGGATTTATCCTCCGCCCTTCACTACCCGAAGGTGTCTCGGAGCGGCTTACTGACTCCTTTCCCTTCCCCTCCCCACAACAGGCACCCTGTGAGGTAGGCGGGGCTGAAAGAGCTCTTTCGAGGACTGCTCTTGAGAGAAAAGCTCAGAGAGAACTATGGCTTGCCCAAGGTCATCCAGCAGCTGTGAGTGGAGGCGTGGGGAATCAAACCCGGTTCTCCCAGATTAGAGTCCGCGCACTTAGCCACGACACCAAACTGGCTCTCAATTGGATGCCAACCCCCACCAACATGCTCCTCCACCGCTGGCTCTCTGGGTTCCAGGGCGCCTGGAAGATGCTCCATCAGGTAAGGACTTGCCTCCCCCAAGCCTCCCTCCAGAACTGCTCCCCCCCCACTGCCTGCTGCCCCGGGCCTGCTTGGGCTGGGATCATTGCCCTCTGCTCCACACCGAACCAGCTCCATGCGGTGGCCTTTGGCTTCCTGGGGCCACTCCGAAGAGACAGTGATCAAGCCCGTGAGGGGCAGGGGGAGCTGGGTCCAGGTCTCTCTCTCTCTGAGCAAAGCGCCAAAGCCGCTCTGGTGACCTCACGGGGGAATGGTGAGACACATCATCCCTTGAAGCCCCTTGGAGGGAGGGTGGGAGGAAACGGGATCTTGGAGCTAACTTTGTGCTTTTCGGGAACTCTGAGTGTGTCCCACAGACGGGAGGGACTGCCCGGGTGCACATGGAGAGAGCTCTTCCCTGGCCCCAGAGCAGGGGTGTCCCGTGCAGGCCTTCCCAGGCCAAGGATGCCGCCTGAGTCCAGCAAAGATACCAGCCAGCCTCACCTGGTCACAAGCGTTGCCTCCCTCAAGTCCTCCTCCTCCTGTCGTCACCTCCTTGGTTTCGGCTGCTTTCTCCTTCCTTTCCCCTCCTGATCCGCCTGCCGTTCCTCCCAGGACTGGCTCTGGCTTCTTCCTTTCTCCTCCGCCTTGAGGGGCCTTCTCCCGGAGTTCTCCTGGCCCTTTCCCGCTTCCTCCCGGCTTCTCCTTTGCCTCCGAGGAGCCTTTCCCAGCTGCTGCCGCTGGTTCCTGCCTGGCTTCTCCCACCTGCTTCCCTGGCTTCTCCTTGGCTTCTACCGGCTTTCCCCCCGCCGGTTTCTCTCGGGCTCTTTCCCCTTTTCTTCTGCCACCTTCTCCTTGCTGCCCGGCTTGCTCGGGAGGGGCTCTTCCTTGGCCTTCTGTGTCCCGCTCTCTTTCCTGGGGCGTTCCAAGCACTTGCTCCAGGGCAAGCTGCTTTTCTTCACCGCCTCTGTGGTGTTGTGCGACAGACCTGCGGCAGCCTGGGCATCCCCGGAGCTGGTGTTTTTATTTGGCTGTGGGGCAGGAACGTGAGGGGCCGGGGAGACGTCGGGGTTTGTTTGCTGCCCTGCTTTGGGAGCAGCTGGTACCGATTCAGCGGCAGGCGGCCCCGGCTGCTTGGCATTGCTTCTTGGGGGGGCTGTCTTGGAAGGCAAGGGCTTCCTCTCCTGGATCTCGGCCATGCCGCCCCCCGCGGGCTTCTCGCCATTCAGCCGCCCCTGCGGCAGCTCCCCCCGGCCGGCCACGTCCTTCCCCACCTGCATGATGTTGGCGTCTTTGGTCACAAACTGCTGGACGGTTCCCTCGACCTGCTTCCCCGGAGGCTGGCAAAACAAAAGGTTCAGAGAAGTTAGGACCACGGTGGCCAAGCTGTGCCCTCCCCCCAAGAGAGAACAGAACCCAAAAGGGGGGGCAGGCTGAGCCCAAAGGGTGGGACTCAGTTGCCCGGGGGGGGTCACCTCGCACTTGGCAGAGGGAAGCTTGACCTGGCCACCCGGAAAAGGGGGGAAGCAGGAGCCAGTCGCAGCTCCCAGGACCGCATTCATGTGCCAAGCAGTGTTCCCTCTAAGCTGAGTTAGTGTGAACTGGCTCACAGTTTTTTAGCCTCCGGCTCACACATTTTTGTCTTGGCTCAGGAAAGATGGCTCCAGAGCAAACTCAGACCGATTTCCCACAAGCCACTGCTCCGCCCTCGCGCTTCCCTTTCCCCGGATTGTATGTGTCCATTTCCCACTATTTGCTGCACGGCCGCATTTCGCCCCGCAGCTTCGTTTGATTTCCCCCACATCTACTCAATCCTCAAAAAACAGGATTGAGTAGACGCAGGGGAAATCGGGCGAAGCTGTGGGGCAAAATGTGGCCGTGCAGCAAATAGTGGGAAATTGACACATACAATTGAGGGAAAGGGAAGAGCGAGGGTGGAGCAGCGGCTTGTGGGACATCGGTCTAATTTATGCAGCAGCCAAATCGCTCGCTCACAGCTTTAATGCCAGCAGCTCACAAAGTAGAATTTTTGCTCACAAGACTCCACAAGACTTAGAGGGAGCACTGGTGCCAAGTAATTCTCAGGCCGCAGGTTCCCCATTCACACTTTTATGCCTCTTGGGAAATTTCAGTGGCCAGTTCGGTTCCCACAGGCAAAGCCTTTTCGGTGGCTGCTCCTGAATAGCTGCCCTCCCTCCCCCAGTGAACCTCCCCCAAGACTGGCTGAAGGCTGGCAAAGACCTTCCTCTGTAACCTGTTTCAGTACCCTGCCTCTACAGGGCAAAGGTTCTGGACTGGTTCTCTAATGACTGCTTGTCATGTAGCCATCTGATTTATTTTTATTTATTTATATATTTATTTTATCTGATACTGTGGCTAATCCTATTTATTCATTTGAAAAAAATTTGATCTGTTTTTGTTAAGTCTTTTAGGTGCCTCAAGACTCAAATCAATTCACCTAAACTCTTCAGCAGATAAAAATTAAGCTGCAGGCCCGAGTGAATCAATGAGTTAATCTTCAGGTTTGGCTTAAAGCACTAAAGTCCAGCACCAAGGAATCATAAGAACCTCAGAAGAGCCCTGCTGGACCAGAGCAGTGAGGGTCCATCTAGTCCAGCATCCTGCCTCACACAGTGGCCAACCAGTTCCCCTGGAGGGCCAACAACAGGGCACGGAGGTCGAGGCTGAGGCCTTCCCCGGAGAAGAACATCAGAAGAGCCCTGCTGGGTCAGACCAGTGAGGGTCCATCTAGTCCAGCATCCTGTTTCACACAGTGGCCAGCCAGTTCCTCTGGAGGGCCAACAGCAGGGCAGAGAGGCTGAGGCCTTCCCCTAATATGAACATCAGAAGAGCCCTGCTGGATCAGACCAGTGAGGGTCCATCTAGTCCATCATCCTGCCTCACACAGTGGCCAACCAGCTCCTCTGAAGGACCCACAACAGGGCAGAGAGGCCGAGGCCTTCCCCTGATAAGAACCTCAGAAGAGCCCTGCTGGATCAGACCACTGAGGGTCCATCTAGTCCAGCCTCCTGTCTCACTCAGTGGCCAACCAGTTCCTCTGGAGGTCCCACAATAGGGCAGAGAGGCTGAGGCCTTCCCCAGAGAAGAACATCAGAAGAGCCCTGCTGGGTCAGACCAGGGAGGGTCCATCCAGTCCAGCATCCTGCCTCACACAGTGGCCAACCAGTTCCCCTGGAGGGCCAACAACAAGGCAGAGGGGTTGAGGCCTTCCCCTGATGCTGCCTCCTGGCTCTGGGATTCAAAGGTTTTCTGGCTCTGGACATGGAAAATTTTCTTTATTCATTGTATCTAGTGGCCATAAATAGAGAGCTCTCCTCTATGAGAATCGTGACAAGAAGCTTGTTCCATAGACTGGGGCCAACACCAAGAAAGCCAGTTTGGCATGGCAAGTTGTTAGTTGGAAACCACCAAAAGATTGCCAGTGGCAGCTCTTAGCAGGTAGGATGGTGCATGAGGGAGAACACACTCTATTAGGTGTGCTGGGCCAAAATGGTGAATGGCTTTGAACACATCAGCACCAGAACTTCGGTCTACAACGTATCAGTAAGCAGTAAGCAGTGGCATTTATGCGTGTGTGGTGAATACCAGAAACTGGTGTGCCTCCTGCATTCTGGACCAACAACAGGATTCCACACCCCCTCCGGGGGCAGTCCCAGATACAGCAAGTTACAGTAGTCCAGCCAGCAGGTTACTCATGTGTCATACATAATAGTTTATCACTGTGAGTTTAGTCGGCCAATGTATCTTCAAAACAGAATGATAATTCTGAAAATTCACATAAGGTGACGATATCCATTGGATTTTGCTTTAGCGTTTTTATATTTATGCGCTCCCGGATTTTCCATGACAGGCCTATATAAAGTTTGAGTCCAGTGGCACCTTTAAGAGCAACAAAGCTTTTGTATCTGAAAAAGGTGTGCATGGACACACAGAAACTTATAGCCAGAATTAAACTTTGTCGGTCTCAAAGGTGCCACTGGACTCAAACTTTGTTCTGTTGCTTCAAACCAACACGGCGGCCCACCTATACCAAGTTTTGCAGCTGAAATATTATTTGATGGTAACATTATACTGTTTTTTAGACAATGGGCTTTATCCTGAAGATCCATTCCACTACCAGTAGCACTTTCCCCTGACTAAGGAGCTGTCCATTCAGCAAGAGCCGGCATGAGACGGCTCCTTGCATGGGGGGGGGATGCCCCCATTAGAGCAAAAGATCTGTGGGATGAAACCCTCTGTCCCTTTGTTTGTATTATTAGACTCTCCGTGCTGGTAAAAACTGTCCAAACTTAGTCAGTCCTTTCAATTTCCACTCATTGATTCTCTTCATTGCCCTTCCCAAGTTTGCCCTGTCCCGTCGATGTTAATTAGCGTAATGTGCTATGTGCTGCCCTTGCATGCGTGGCGGAGGATGGGATGTTTTTAAGCTAATGCGCTTCACCATCAAACAGAACCAATGGCAAGGATGTTAATAGGCCACGACTGGGAGACCAGCGGCGCTCTCTGCTGATGAGCGGCCCCCAGTGTGGCCAGACTCACAACCTTGGCTCGTGGCAGGTCCACAAGGGCAGGAGGAACGGTGAGCCCCGACCGGAGTCAGGTGGGGATGCAGGCAGGAGAGGGCCTGTGGTTCACTGCACCTCCTTTGCCTGCAGAAGGTTCCGGACTGAATACCTGCCAGGATCTCCAGGTCAACCAGGCTGGGAAAGGCCCCTGCAGGCAGCCCTCAAAAACCACAGAGACCCCTGGGCCAGTGCTGGGGTTCAACAGCCCCGAATGCACGGCTGGGCTAGCAGTGCACAATACAGGGGGGAGAGCAGGGTCCTGCAGAATATGGCCGGTCAGGGGTGGTAAGGCCTTGCGCGCATACGTGGATCCCAGCCGAACAGTGGAACCCAGGGGAAAGGCATCAGAGCGCACCAAGAGGTCCCTGAACATCATTCTGGGCAGGGCCTGAGCAGGGCTTTGGAATTAAAAGCAAGAGTTCATTACTTACATCTTCTTTGGAGTTTAACGTAATTTTATCTTTCAGTTTCGCTTCTTTGGACTCCTTTTCTGTTTCCCGCACCAGCTGCTTGATGAAGCCTCCAGGGATGACCGAGAAGAGCGGGGGCGGAGAGGAGGGCGGGGGGCTGCGGTCCTCTTCCCGGATCTGTTTGCACAAGCAAAGGTTCCGTTATGGAATGGCGCACCGGGAAGTGGCTGCTCTGGATCTGGGCCACACGGACAAGCCACACTGGCCAGCAGCAACACTCGCCTCTTGTCTCTCACACAGGATTCAAAGAGGTTGCTCAGAAAGCCAGAGAAAGGGACAGGTGGAATTTGCACACGCATGCTCCAGGAAGCTTTGATAAAGAATAGATCTGCAAGGCTCTGAGAGAGGCCCCCCTTCTCCAGATGCGCACACTTGTCTCTCAGTTTCTTCTTCTTCGACAGTCACCCCTGGTCAAAGCAGCCGTGCAGGTTTTTGAAACCGTGCAAAAACCTTCCAACGCTGTTCACCAGAGGGCAGAAAACAGGATGCATGCATGCACCGCAAACAGAAGTTTCCTCTTTCAAACAACCTTCATTCCAGGTGTGGGAGGGTTTGAGGGGGGATGGCGTTTGACTCCAGGGGAAAGCAGGAGGCAAGGCCAAAGCGGAGAAGTTTACATAAAGCAGCCAACACCAAACAGACCTTGCAGGGGAAATGCTAAGCCCAGGAAGGAGATGAACCATGCAGGTGAGAAGTTAGGGAGGCAACAGGCACAGTCCACGGTAGACCTTTGCAACGGGACAATTAGGATTGCTAAGCAACACTCATCAGGAGGACCAGTGAGGCTCCACCCTCCTGCCCGGGGGGAGGGGAGGGTGTGTTCCAGTCACTCCGCATGCCATGCCAGCCACGTGGAGATGGGCGCCACTTTCCTTCTGCTCCCACAGGGCCAGTCGTGAGGAGATGGCCATGCTGATGCCCTGAGCGTGGCGGAGGAAGGCAGACTCAAGGAAGGGGGCTACACTTTGAAGATGCGGGGCGCCGGCCTGCAACAGGACCAGAGAGAGAGAGAGAAACACTGCAGTCAAGACATCTCTAGATTAAATCATCCCTTTCGTACTAGAGGGGTTGGGGGAGGGGCTCCAGGTTGTCCATTCGGAAAGGTTAGCCTCCTTCGCTGGACGTTTTCAAGCAGAGGCTGGACGGCCATCTTTCGGGTCTGTGCTCCTGCAGAGTGCAGGGGGTCAGACTAGATGACCTGCAAGGTCCCTTCCAACTCTAACATTCTATGATTCCTCCAGGGCAGCTGCCTCACGAACCAGGTGCCCAGGGCAGAACTGCAGCTGGGGGCAACATCAGAGCTCCAAACCCCAAATTTCGGTCTGAGCGCAGACAAAGACCATGCCTGTGTCTGCATTTGATCACTGTTGTATTTGATCGTTGTTGTTCTTTAGGTCCATTCTGTATATGACGAGTTTGAAATATGTTCGTGCTTAATGTATGGAGTGCTCAGGTTGTATATTACCACTGAGAAAGGATTTTTAGCTGAAACTCGTTTGATTCTTGTATTTGCACACATTTTCTACCTTTTTAACCTGTATTTATATGTTCTGATGACAACTGTCCTGAAGTTAGGTATAGGTACTTATATACAGAACCATAGATATGTGGTTTTTATTGTAATTTTAATATTTTCTAGGCATAATTAAAATATAGTGCATATTTTTATATTAGCACTTCATGTTTAGCTATATTTGATTACTAGGAAGCAAAGCCCATTGTGGATGAAGACAGCGGACCCTAGAAAGGTTGGGTGGGTGGGAGAGAGAGAGAGAGAGAGATGGAGGGGTTAGGAGAGAAGGAGAGAGAGGAAGGAAGGAAGGAAGGAAGGAAGGAAGGAAGGAAGGAAGGAAGGAAGGAAGGAAGGAAGGAAGGAAGGAAGGAAGGAAGGAGGGTGAGGGGGGAGACAGACAGTCAGAAAGACAGAGAGGCAGAGATGGAGGGAGGGAGGATGAAGGGGGGGGAGAAGTCAAAGCGTTGGGGAGGAAGGGAGAAAGAGTGAGAGAGGGAAAGAATGAAGGGAGATAGGGAGAAAGGAAGAGAGAGTGAAGAAGGGGGTAGCGGTGAAAATGTGTCTGCGGCGGACGGCACCACCACCGCCGGCACTGTCACCACCCCTCGCCTGCTCCCCCCAAAAGGCTGTGAAGGGGGGTAGGTGGAGCGCCCTACATTCCGAAGAAGTGAGCGCAGCTTGCCCAGCCCAGGCTTTGCCGGGCGAGGGAAGCGCGATGCGGTCGCCTCAGCACCTCTCACCCGCCGCAGCCTCGTCTGTCTCTCCACTGGCCGCTTGCCGTCCGTTCCAGGGCCGTGCGGGCCAAGGCAGCGAGGCTCGTCCCTCCCACCCACCAAGCCAGCCAAATGGCATGCCAGTTGCCCTGAGTGGTAGCCGACGGGCCAATGGCTGAGGGAGCGTATTTTTTCTCACCACCCCATAGGACGGTGGCCCCACCAAAACTCAATTATATATAAGGAGAGATTTTTTTTCACTCTAACCTCTCTAGTACTCCGCTTGGAGCATCAAAAATGAGAAAATAACACACACACACACCCCGTGTTATATCAACTTGAGAAAATGGCTGGGGGAGGCAGGAGCCCCCCCCCCCCCCCCCCCGTGGCCTCTCCTTTGTTTTTGAAAAGCCAATTCTTTAAAAACCAAAACGTCTAATTTGGCCCTGAAACGGGTCCACAGGGAACAATGTAAACCAGTTCAAAGCACATCTCCTGATGCCTGCTGCTGCCGCCCACAGACACCGCCCCAATCTTGAAAGCTTGTTCCTCGCTGCAATGCTTTGGCTGGTGGGTCCTCCAAAAAAGCAGTACCCAGGCACAGTTTCTGGATTTGTCCACGCAGCTGGGATCCCCATTGAGCAGTCTCCTTGGTATGGGAGCATTCCTTGCAACCTCCTCTTGGAGCTAAACCTTGGCTGAAAATCTGGATGAAAGGATAATAAGGAAATATTCCGAGCCCCCCTCCCTCCTGTAGGCATAGTGGTGAAGAGTGGCAGACTCTCGTCTGGAGAACTGGGTTCGATTCCCCACTCCTCCACAAGAAGAAGAAGAAGAAGAAGAAGAAGAAGAAGAAGAAGAAGAAGAAGAAGAAGAAGAAGAAGAAGAAGAAGAAGAAGAAGAAGAAGAAGAGATTGGATTTATACCCCGCCCGTCACTACCCAAAGGTGTCTCAGAGCGGCTGACAAGCTCCTTTCCCTTCCCCTCCCCACAACAGACACCCTGGGAGGCAGGTGGGGCTGAGAGAGCTCTTGACAGGAACTGCTCTTTTTTCAAGGACAGCTCTTATCAGAACTACGGCTTGCCCAAGGTCATCCAGCAGGTGCAAGTGGAGGAGTGGGGAATCAAACCCGTTTCTCCCAGATTAGAGTCCGCGCACTCAACCACGACACCAAACTGAAGCCAGTTGGGTGACCCTGGGCCAGTCCCAGTTCTCACAGAGCAGTCCCCTCTTGGCCCCACCTACCCCACAGGGCGTCTGTTGTGGGGAGAGGAAAGGAAGGAGATTGTCAGCCGCCCTGAGACTCAGAGGGAAGGGCGGGGTATCAGTCCAACTCCTCCTCTTCTTCTTATGTAGGTCCTGGGCAGCCGCCAGGCCAGCAGACATTTGTGGGAGGGCGACAACTGGGGACACAAGCCCCCCTCGCCAGGCCTCCGCGCTGCCCTCCCCACAAGCCCCAGACGCAACTGTCCCTCTATGCCCCCCAGTCCTTTTCCAGAGGCCGCGCCAGAGCAGCCCGCACGGCCACTCCTAGCAGGGCATGAGAGACAACCCGCTGCCCTTTCCCTGGTGACATTCTGGGCCTCGGCTGGCTGGCACCTCGACAGCACAAATACCTGGGTGGTAGAGTCACCGTACTGTACACTGAGCAGGCCAGAGGAGGGAGGGCGAAGGCACGGGGGCACTGCGGCTATTCCTGGGGCACCCTGGAGCTGCAAGCCCCAGCGGTGGAGAAGGATGGCTGCGGGCTCCGGAAGCGCCAGAGGCCCTCCCCCTTCTAAGCCAGGCGGCATCTCCAGGGGGAAGGGCGGGCCTACGGGAAAGGAGCACGCTTTGGGGAGCGTGGGGGGAGGGTGTGTGATGTGCTCACTGCACGGTGCTGCTGGACCCCATGCTCACCCGTGGGTGCTGGCCCTTCACTTCTTTGTACACCAAGAGAGACACCTGCAGGGCAGTGTTCCCTCTAAGCTGAGTTTGTGTGAGCTAGCTCACCGTTTTTTAGCCTCCGGCTCACACATTTTTGTCTTAGCTCAGGAAGGATGGGGCTCCAGAGCAAAGTAATTTAGGTAGCAGCCAAATCGCTCGCTCACCACTTTAATGCCAGCAGCTCACAAAGTAGAATTTTTGCTCACAACAAGAAGAAGGAGAACAGAAGAGATTGGATTCATACCCCTTTGCCCTTCACTACCCAAAGGAGTCTCAGAGCGGCTTACAAACTCTTTTCCCTTCCCCTCCCCACAACAGACACCCTGTGAGGCAGGTGGGGCTGAGAGAGCTCTTGACAGAAACTGCTCTTTTTCAAGGACAGCTCTTGTCAGAACTACGGCTTGCCCAAGGCCATCCAGCCAGGTGCAAGTGGAGGAGTGGGAAATCGAACCCGGTTCTCCCCGATTAGAGTCCATGCTCTTAAGAAGAGAAGAAGGATTGGATTTATACCCCACCCTTCACTACCCAAAGGAGTCTCAGAGTCGCTTACAGACTCCTTTCCCTTCCCCTCCCCACAACAGACACCCTGCAAGGTAGGTGGGGCTGAGAGAGCTCTGACAGAAACTGCTCTTTTTCAAGGACAGCTGTGCCAGAACTACGGTATGCCCAAGGTCATCCAGCAGGTGCAAGTGGAGGAGTGGGGAATCGAACCTGGTTCTCCCCGATTAGAGTCCATGCTCTTAAGAGAAGAAGGATTGGATTTATACCCCACCCTTCACTACCCAAGGGTGTCTCAGAGCGGCTCACAAACTCCTTTCCCTCCCCCTCCCCACAACAGAGACCCTGTGAGGTAGGTGGGGCTGAGAGAGCTCTTGACAGAAACTGCTCTTTTTCAAGAACAGCTCTTGCCAGAACTATGGCTTGCCCAAGGTCATCCAGCAGGTGTAAGTGGAGGAGTGGGGAATCAAACCCGGTTCTCCCGGATTAGAGTCTGCGTGCTTAACCACGACACCAAACTGGCTCTCCACAGCTTAGAGAGAGCATTGCCGCAGGGGCCTGGCAGAGGTTCAGAAGAAGAATCTGTCCCAGCTGAAGGTAGTTTCATACAGTGTTCGCTCTAAGCTGAGTTAGCGTGAGCCAGCTCACAGTTTTATAGCCTCTGGCTCACACATTTGTTTCTTAGCTCAGGAAGGATGGGGCTCCGGAGCAGGCTAATTCCTGCAGCAGCCAAATCGCTGGCTCACAACTTTAATGCCGGTAGCTCAGAAAGCAGAATTTCTGCTCACAAGACTCCACAGCTTAGAGGGAGTATATGGGGTCAGTCAAAGAATGACTGGGAACACCCCCCAAAAAACCCCCCATCAAAGCTGGAGAATCCCTGAGCTCTGCTTCGCTAGAGGGGGCTGAGCACACCCCTGCAGTTGCCAACCTCCAGGTTGGAACTGGAGATCTCCCAGAATGGCAACGGATCTAGAGAAAATGGGTGCTTTGGAGGAAGGTGGGTTACAGGATACTATACCCAGCTGAAGTCCCTCCCCTCCCCTCCCCAAGCCCTGCCCTCCCTAGGAATTTCCCATCAGGGAGTTGGCAACTGTAACCCCCACAGACGGGGGGGGGGGGTGCAGCTGTCTGATCCACACAGAAGCTTGTGGAAATGTTGTGCCTCCTTTGCCTTCCAGGCCGGCTGAGGGAGGCAAAGGCAGCGAGAGGAACAGCTCAAGCATTTTCCATGTGCCCTCCAAGACTTATTTGGGCAAAGACCATCCTGTGACACGGCTGGTGGTATCGAGGGCTTGGAGGACCTGGAGATAAGCAAGAGGCCTGCACCGAGAACACGACCCGGACTCCTCCCGCTGCTGCTCACACACAAAAATGCCTCCCACCCCCCCCCCCAGTCAAGGGCTGGGAAGCCCCTCCTCACCCAAAGGCCTTGGGAGCAGCTCCCCTCCCAGCGGGTCCTGACAGAGCTGCCCGCCAGACTGTTCAGACACTCTACATGCCTGTGGTGTGTTCCTTCCTGTTTCTGTGCCCCGCTCTGGTCCTAAAAGAGACTGGGTGGGCCTGAGGAAGGCGACGCCATCTAAAAAGGCCACAAAGAAATCTCCTGGGAAAACACAGCAGCGTCTGTAGCAGAAGTCCCGGGGGGGGGGGAGGTACCCACTCCGGCTGGAGGCTCACAAAAAGCTTTGGGGCAACCCAGCGCCACCGCTGGCCAAACACCACACTCGGATCTCGTTCCCGGTTTTATCAGAGTTCAGCTTGCGACACACATTGCATTTATCCTGGGACAAGTGTGGAGCGAAACTGGGGTGACCTCAATGTAATGTGGGAACAAAAAACACCCCGAGATCATTTACAGGGCTGAACTCAAGTGCAGCGTAGAATGTAAGTTTGGGGACAGGGTTGAACCAGGACTTAAGGTCTAGTGCGGAATCACCCAGCAACATGACGTACAGACCTCTCTGAGCAGCAGCAAATGGCACACCCCAAGCAGCACCCCCTCCCTTTGGCTCCCTGGGAAACCTCGCGTCTGCCCGCCTGGGGGAGAAGCCAGCCATGCCGATGGACCCCAGGAGCCAGCCTCGGCAGCATGCCGTGCTCACGTCCAGCACTGGAGGAGGCAGCATGGACCCCGCACGTCTGGACTGGAGGACAAGCACCCGCCTTCCTTCCCCGGCCCAGTCTCCCAGCAGCTGCCACAGATGGGGGCCGGCTAGCAGGCCGACAGGCACGCTACCTGGGGGAGGCAGTTCCTCAGGTGCCTGGTCTGTTAAGAGATACGAGGACTCTGCGTCTTCCCCCAAGGCAGGCAGAAACACAGCCCAGTTGATTGGGGGGGGGGGTTGAGCAGAAAGCACGGCAGCACAGGCAAGGGGGGAGTGTCCCCCCCCATTGTTTAAGAACATCAGAGAAGCCAGTGTTGGATCTGGCCAATGGCCCATCCAGTCCAACACTCTGTGTCACACAGGGGCCAAAAAAACCAGGTGCCCTCAGGAGGTCCAGCAGTGGAGCCAGGACACCAGGAGCCCTCCCACTGTTGCCCCCCCCCCAAGCACTAAGAAGACAGAGCATCCCTTGCCCCAGACATAAGAACATAAGAGAAGCCAATGCTGGATCAGGCCAATGGCTCATCCAGTCCAACACTCTGTGTCACACAGTGGCCAGAAATACCAGGTGCCATCAGGAGGTCCAGCAGTGGGGCCAGGACACTACAAGCCCTCCCACTGTTGCCCCCCCCCCCAAGCACCAAGAAGACAGAGCATCCCTGGCCCCAGACATAAGAACACAAGAGAAGCCAATGTTGAATCA